ATTCCATGCGTTGTGGTCGGTGAACCGCATTCCGCCGCTCTGTGATGCTACAGCAGTCGCTGCACAGGCTTAATTACACAAAAATAAAGCTGCAAAAGCCTAATACTGATGACTTTGACAGCAACAGATTTGCAGCTTTTGTTCTGCAGCAAGGAAGCTTCATGTGTTCTTAGATGGGTTGACTTTTGGAGGAAGTCTGAAAATCTCGTCGTGTTCAACAGAGGGAGGGCCACTCAAGCGAAGCCAAATTGCTTGGATTGTCGCGTGGAGCCACGTGCTGCAGTTTGCCGCACCCAGAGTCGCAACTCAGCGTTCTGGGCTGCATTCAGCTGTTTGTCTCTAAGCAAAACACTTCCAAGCAAAACGAAATGAGTATTTTTTCCAACTAACCTTCTTGCAACTTTAGACATGAGTAGAAGCCTTCGAGCCTTCACTTACGCGCGCTCCAGCCTCCTGAGGCAGAGATGATAGCAAAAGAAATCTGGAGTCAAGGTGCAAAAAGAGACACATTGCATGATGGGACAAACATAAAAAGCAAAAAAAATTGAAGGAGATCAAAAGAAGATGAACCTCCGTAACAGTTTAGTGTGCCAGATCCGATGACCAGAGAAGCGGGACAGACAGCTTCATGCTCTGTACAACAGTGCCTTTGAAGGACGCTTCCACCAAACGTGCCGGCTCCACTCGATGCGGAGGCCGTCCGCCAACGATTGACAGCGCTCTCACCCGCGGAAAAGAATCACTCCTAGTCTCTTCGGCGCACGCTACTGCCGCGCGAATGCAATGCACGCGCGACTGGAAGCTTTTTGATGCAGTGCATACCACTTGCAAGCGTAAGGGCTTGCCACCTGCCGGTATTTATATTCTTGCTTTTGAACCCTTTGTATGGGTTTGGAGAAAAAAAGTTTTACTCTCGGTTTAGGTGGCTTGAAGAACGGAAGTTTGCCACTTTCAAAAAGCGGACAGCCTGCATCCGTTCGCTGAAAGCTATTGATCAAAAAGAAGCGACTGACGACATACGTCGTTAAGTCTTTCCCCTGCCCCTCATGCTCTTGTCAATGTCCTCCTTGGCGATCTTTGCCTTCTCAGCGGCTGACCCTGTGTCCCTACTGTACCGCTTCTGCTGGAGGTACTTGTCCCTTGTTGGACCCTGGCAGTTGCCTGTGTGGGTGTTCCCACTTTTGTTGCCAGTGTTGCATCCGAGACGTTTTTGTTCTTGGCACGCCTTACGACGCGATAGCGGTTGCCCAGGCGGGTCACTTGCCTGCGACATTGGCTTCGCACTCTTCTTCCGGAAGCTACTCACGCTGTAGTGGGCACTTTTGGAGTTTGTGGTGTGCACGATCGCGACGGAACAAAAGACAGGGTTGTCCGTTGTCTGCCGAGACTAGAACGGCAACCGGAGTCTGGACTTGGCTCCACCTGTTGTTTTGGACAACTCTGAGCGACGGCTCTTTGTTGCTCCTGACGGGTCGCTGAGGGTCGTCCGTGCGCCGCAGCCCTTTGTAGAGCTTCGCTTTTCTGTCTCACCACTTTGCCAGTTTGTAGTTTGTAGATTGTAGTTTGTGTTTGCTTCGCTTGTTTGTAGGGACCGAGTGCTACAGCCGAAGTCGACGAGGCCCAGTCAAGCCAAAATTTGGGGGGCGCAGCCTTCCAAACGTGGAGTTCCCCGAACCCAGGGTTCGGGGGGGGGACGACTTCCAGAACCCGAGGTTCCAACATAGAGTTCCCCAAACCCCGGGTTCCAACATAGAGTTCCGGAACCCAGGGTTCGAACTCGACCTGGGGCGGGTTCCGAACCCAGGGTTCGGACTCTCTGGGAAAGGGGAGGAGTTTAAGTTCTCAAACCCCGGGTTCCCGAACCAGGGTTCGCATTGAGTTTCCGAGCCCCGGGTTCGAACATAAAGTTCTCAGGGTTGAACATAGAGTTCAAACTCCAGGTTAGGGTTCAACCCTGAATTCCGGAGTTACATGTTCTCCTCCCTCCAACCCTCCCAGCAGATGGAGTTTGTGCGAACGCGGAACATGCTTCAGGGTGGGCGAAGGAAGGCTTGCGAAAGGTTGGAGAAGTGACACGTTTTTATTTGGGGGCCTGCGCGGCTTGGTTTTTCCAGGGTCCGTAGCAACTGCACCCAGAGCCAGAATTCAAGGCCTACAGTGTGAAAAGTTGTACCTCTGAGCTGCCTGTTGAGTGGTGGAGTCAGTGTGCTGAGCTGCGATATGTATATCATCAGGCTGCTGACTGCAGTTTGGAGTGCAAGCCAATTTTCCTGCTGCGATTCCTGGAATTTTCTGAGGTGCAACGGTTATCTGGATATATTCTGCATGGTTTTGGTTTTGCAGAGGTTTTTTCAAAGCACTGGAAGATTTTCACTGGGAGCTGCGGTTTTCATGGCATGGAACCTTGGTTTTCAGCTGCGAGAACAGTTTTCGACATGTGGCATGAGTTGCTTGAGCTTTTGAGTGAGATGAGTGAATGCTGAGCCGTTAGTCCGCATGAGTTCTCGAAGGCCTCAAGGTACCTTCTCGAACAGCTGTAGTGTATGCGAGTTTGTTTGCCAGCGTGGAGCTTGTAGGGAAGCTGTGACGGTATGCTTTTGAAGCGAAGTTTTGTTTTGACATGTGCTGAAGCACATGTGAATCCGGAGTGCCGCGCTTATGTGTGGCTCAAGGCTGGAAAGCTTTGAGACTGAAGCTCGTTGAAAGAATGGGCCGATGATGAAACACGTTCTGAGGCTCATTAAAGCAAAGCTTAAAGCAAAGCTTTAGGTGACAGCAGTGCAGTGCAAGAACAGCTGAACACTTCGTTTGTTGCGCGAGCAAAAGTCTGTGCAGACCTTGACGGGTTGTTCAGGGTTTGTAAGTTTTACATGGTAGCGGAGCACTGTTTGTGCTCCCACACCATTTCCGCCGACCCAAAGAAGGTGTTATGTCTCAAAGGCCTATAGGTCCAAGTGCTGAGGCGCCAGCTCCGTGTAGTCCAGGTCTTGCTGAGGCTGGAGGGGAGTATGGGTGTGGTACAGCTGGGTGTGGGCAACAGGAAAGGAGGCAAACAGGTGTGGAAGGTGTGAGTGGTGTTGGGTCAAGCGATCCGTGGTTTACAGGTGTTCAGAGAGATCCCTGGGCGTTGTACGGAAATCGTATGCGTGCTGGAATGGGACCGATGGAGTCTCATATTAGCATGCCATGTCCACCTTCGAGCGGTACGCCTTCAGTTGCAAGTGCGTGTGCTGGCATTAGGCCAGTGGCGCCAGCTCCAGGTTTGTCAGTGCCTTCAGGTCCTGCGAGGAATCTTTCGACAGTTCCGAATCAAGGATGTTGCAGTCAGGTTTCTGGAGATAATGTGAGTGCAGGGAGACATCTGCTTGATCGCATGAGTTCGCGTGAGTTGCAGTCCTTGTATGCAGATCTTAGCCAAAGACTGAATGTCCCTGTGAGTGGGCAGTTTGTTCCTGAGAGATTGGGGCAGTCGCCACCTGATTTGAATGTGCCAGCTTTCGTGAGACATCAAGGTAACACGTTACCTGGTGTTCCAGCTGAAAATGCGAGGAGCAGTGAAGACAAAGACGTCTTTAGTCGCAGTGAGAAGTGGCTAGGGTCTCCACCTACGCCAAATCATCAAGCGTGGAAAGGGCGTGAATCTGAAGTGCTGGGCATGAATGCCTATATTCACGAGTTGGTTGCATGGGCGAACCAAGCAAGTGTTGAGTTTGGGAAGGAGATCGCTCAGGCCGCGCGATGGCCTACACAGATTGCATGGAACACGTTGTCTAAGAGTCAACAAGCGCGAGGAGTTCGTTTGTTTAGTGTGCTGAAGGCAGCGTTTGCAGATCATGGGCGGATAACTCTTATGATCCAAAGTTTTGGAGAAGGGCTTGACATTGTTGCAGTCGCCATGCAGGGAGATGTTTTTGGAAACTCTCTTTCGTATATGGGTAATGGTTTTGAGTTGCTGAGGCAGCTTGCCAAGGAGTTTTCTCTGAGAAGCCGTGCTGAGGCTATGAGTCTCAGGGCGATGCTGATGGCAAGAACGTTTCGAGCGCAGGACTCGTCAGCTCCAGTTGCTGACACAGTGCGTCAGATTGAGGTGGCAGTGGCAAGGTTTGTGCGTTTACTCGCTGTCTTCAAGGACAGCTTCAAAACGCGTATTGGGCTCATCAGTTAACTCAATGACACAAGATAACACAAGAGTGGAGTCCACCTGCTGTGCTTCTTGCTCATCACCTTCCTCGGTGTAAAAAGATTCATCAGCATCTGTGTACCACCAAACCCCCGTTTCCTCATCAAACAGAGCAAACATTTTTCCTTTCTTTCCTACTTTTCCTTTGCTCTTGCCTTTAGGCGAAAAAGAAACTTGACCCTTGGCCGCAGCAGCACCTTTGCCATCAGAACCCTTAGGCCTCGCACTCGACTGAGAAACATCACCCTGCTTGCCCTTGGCACAGTTCAAAGATATGTGGCCCATCTCTCCGCACTTGAAGCACTTAACCTTGGAAAGGTCTGCCGTGCACTGATTCACTTGATGCCCCTTCTTGCCACAACGGTTGCACTTCACACCGCTCCCAGCATCAGAAGGCCTAGCACTCATGCCAAAGACGTGACCATCCATTCCCTCACCTGCCTCAGGCGAACCTGCGCTCTCAGAAAACTCGGTTTCATGCAAGCCAAACAAACCTTTGGCCCCTTGCAACTCAAGAAACAAACGCTGCTGATGTTCCCATCGCAAAGCTGAAGATCGATATGAGGCATATGTCTCACCTTGCGAATGATGTAACGTATACGCTTTCGCGCTCTCAGGCAAAGACCTCATCAAAAGCGTAAGCTGATCACTGTCAGTCAAAGGAAACCCAGCAGCATCTCAACCATTGTTGCAGTCGTTGGGTCAATCGCTTGGAACTGAGTTTTGGCTGCTTGACTCAGGTGCGTCATGCTGTGTTATCAACCACGTGACTTTGAAGACGCTTCCGCATGATGAGTTGACTGCATGTGGTTCGACGTTTATGGCTGCGAATGGGACTCCTGTTCCCTTTGATGGTCGTTGCCATGTTGTGCTAAAGGTTCGAACAAAGGATTCACGTGGAGCTACCAAGAATGGTGTCTGTAAGATCCCTGTGATGGTGGGTGACACTCCTTACAATATCCTGTCAACGCGAACTCTTGGAAGGCATGGCTGGCGTGTTGTCTTGGATGAAGGCGTTTCTGTGTGTCATGTGAAGTCGGGTGTTGATATGATTGATACCTGTATTTGGTGTGACACGCCTTGGATCCGCGTGATTCCTCATTCAGAGGGTGATCTCTTGTTGCCGTCGGGTGACTCAGTTGATCCTGCTCCAATTTCCTCGATTGGACATGTTGCAGTTGTTTCGCAGAAGACCAAGGAAGATCTTGAAATTCACAGAGCAAAGGGCCACATGCCCTTCCATCCCGATTGCGAACATTGTCTGAAGTCCCGAGGTGTTACCCAACACAGGCGAAAGTCTGAGCGCGGAGTTGAAACAGAGATTGTTGCAGATTTTATGTTTCTGGACTCTTCTGGAGAGATGATCAGCGTGGCTGAGCGCCAGACAAGTAGCTCTTTCAAGGTCCTCGTCCTTCGTGAGGCCTTTTCTTCTTCTATTGGGGCTGTGATGATAACTGAGAACATTGCAAAAGACAGAGGTCTTCTTTTGAAGTGGCTTGCTGAGTTTGGGATGTCGTCCTCACAAGCAAGCATTGTGCTTTTGACAGATTCCGAAGAAGCGGTGAAGTCGTTTGTTGCAGGTGCGTCGGATAAGTACATTTTTATGGTGCGCAAGGCTGCGCCACAGGCTCATGAACAGCTTGGTGGTGCGGAAAGGACAGTCCGGGTCCTTAAAGAAGGGCTAGCTACCTTGCAAAGTGATTTTCAGTCGCTTGGTTGCGTTTGGTCGTTTCGGAGAGACTTGCTGCAGCTTGCACTTTCTTACCTGTGCATGAGTGTGAATGCGAATGGCAAAGCTTTTGGCGGTGAACGCTCTCCAAAGGAGGTTGCAGTTGGTCGAAGGTTGCCAGATACCCCTTTTGCGTTGTTTGGGTCCAAGGTGCTTGCTGAGGTCCCTGAGTCTGTGAAGGCTTTGTGCCCGAATATGTCGCGTTTTGAGGCGGCAGCGTTTCTTCATCCGCAATTTGGGTCGCTTGGGAGCTTGGTGTATGCGCATGTGCGTGTGGGCCAGGTCTTGACGCCAAAGGTGTTTGTTGCCAAGTCGATCAAGCTTGTGTTTCCGATTGAGCTTGTCTTCGAGTCGGGGATGTTTGAAGTTTTGCGTCGTCGTGGTGAGCTTGGGCCTGAGAGGCCAGATCATCCAGTTGCGCCTCGGATTCTTCCGAGTTCCCAGGGTGCCTCTTTGAAGTGTCCTGTTTCCGGTCCGCCAAAGGAGTTTTTTGAGAGGTATGGGTTCTCAGGTGAGTGCCGAGCGTGTTCTAACATGGCACAATTTGGGTCTAGGAAGGGCTCTTCTCACGGTCGGGCTTGCTGTTTGAGATATGAAGCGTGGTTGCGGTCGCAAGTTGCAACAGATGACAGCATGGACGTTGAAGTGCCTGTGGCTTCGGATGCAGAGGCTATGCGTGAAGCTCTTTCTGAGCTAGCCGAGGATGAGTCGAGGCAAGACCGAGCTGTGGAGGAGGCTCAGGGTTCTCCTTTGCCTCCCCCGGCCAGTGGGGACGCTGCTTCGTCTGAGGCTCCAGCGAGGATTGTGAGCGAGGCGGCCCCTAGTGGTCGTGTTTTCACGCGTGGTTGTCCTGCGTGCGAGTCTGGCATGAATGCTCCTGGCATTCGTCACAATGCTGATTGCAAGCGAAGGAACCAAAATCTGAGTGTTAGATTTTCTGTTTCTGGGGAGCCCGATGATGACGAAGCTTCATCCAGGCGTCTGCCTGAAAATCTTGAAGGAGCTGCTGCTCCTGAGTCTGAGGGCATTGGGGCTCTTGATGAGGACACTGAGATGCCGTTTGCCGATCCAGTGTTGACTGGAAGTGAAGGCGGAGGCAGCCTAGAGGCTGAAGAAGTGCTTCGTGGAAGCAGTGCTGTGAAACGCTCCTCTGAAGTCCCGTTGGAAGATCTGGAGCGTGAGATCAGGCAGGACCAAGAAAGGGTTGCTTCACTTATGGTTACCTTCCACAATTGTGAAACAGGGAATGATGTTCACATGCCTCTTGCGAGTTTTGTTGAGCAGGCGTTCCAGGTTTCCAATTATGTCCCTTTGCTTTCAGGGCTTGTGGATTCGGTTCAGTTCGCCCCGAACTCTACGAGTGTTGTTTTGCCGTTTGGGAAAAGGTCGCATTTGAGACTTTGGAAGCCTAGTTCCGCTGTTGATGACTCTACCTTGGGTGAGCTTTCAGGAGATCAGGTCATGGAAGGCATGGTCAAAGAAGTCAACAATTTGAGTCACATGGAAACTGGGGATCTGTTGACTGCTTCAGAACTTCAGAGTCTTGAGAAGAGGTTCCTAGGTACCTTGAAGGTCATCCCTAGTCGTTGGGTCACGACGCAGAAAACACCAACTACTGTGCGAGCTAGGATTGTCATCAAGGATATTGCTGGCAAGAACTCAGAGTCTGCAAGGGCTTTGGGCATTTCAAGTCCTACTCCTAGTGCCGATGCTTTGTTCACGGTTCTTGGGGTTGCAGGTTGCAGAGATTGCGTGATTGCGAGCGCTGATGTATCTCACGCTTTCATGGCTACGCCTTTGAGGGAAAGGGATGTGGTTATGAGGTTTCCTCTGTCAGTGTCTTCGGTTTCGGGGGATCCTTTGTATCTTCACCTCAACAAAGCCCTCAATGGGCTACGCAAGGCTTCGCAAGAATGGATTTACTTCGTAGGGGAGACTGTGAAGGTTTTGGGGCTTCAAAGTTGCAGCTTAGAGCCGTGTCTGTTTTCAGGCATGCTTGAGTCAGGTCCCTGTTTGCTGTTGGTCTATGTGGATGATTTTCTGTGCATTGCGCCAACAAAGGAGGATGTAGATCACATCTTTGGAGTGATTGAGGAGAAAGTTGAACTCAAGAGAACCGGGTTGATCAATTCTTCCAAGGATGGCGGTGGCACTTTGCGGTTCATTGGTAGGGTTATCTCCAGGAGAAAGGGGGAGTCCTCTATCACAGTGTCTTTGCCAGAAGATTATTTGGATGAGACCTTCAAGGCTTATGGTCTTTCGGGAAAAGGTTCCTCAAGTCCCCCAGATGTAGCGGTTCATGTTGAGAAGCTCGATGGGGTTCCATTGTCTCCTGAGGCGTATGCCAGGTTCAGGTCTGCGTTGGGGAAAGTAGCTTGGATGACGCAGACTCGTCAGGACTTGCGTGCTTATGTGTCAATCTTGGCAACGCAGCAAGCCACACCCACGAATCATACTGAGCATGGTCTCCGAGCCTTGCTTCGATTTCTGAAGAACGACATGTGCGTGGTTGTGCGGTTGCCTGCTGCGAGTGATGTGTTGGCTCCCTCGCAACACTACCAAGGAAAGAGGCACCTTGTGTGTTTCTCTGACGCATCGCATGCGCCTTTGAGGTGCACGAAGCGCCGTGGAATCAGTGGAGGAGTGTTGACACTTGATGGCTGCGTGATAAAGACTTTGTGTCGTCACCAACAGCTTGTGTCGCTGTCGTCTATGGAGTCAGAGCTGTTTGCGTTGCAGTCGGTTGCTCAAGAAATGTCGAGTCTTGGAAAGTTCATGGCAAGGGTCTTCATGTCGTTTCGAGAAAGCGAGGAAGTTGAATTGCCTGGGGTACTTTACAGTGACTCAGAAAGCGCTTTGAAGCTTCTTCGCAATTTGGACACACCCAGGCAAAGCAGACATCTTGAGATAAGAGTCGAGTGGCTTAAAGCTCGTGTCGCAGCGGGTTCTTTGGTCCTTGCGTTTAAGAAGGGAATCGAAAATCCGTCAGACCTCTTGACTAAGTGTTTGGGGTCCTCGGCTTTCGGGATACATCGCGAAGCGTTGGGCTTTGAGTCGCTGTCGGGACCACTTGCGTCTTTGTGCAATCATGAGAAGAGATTGGTGATGGTTGAAGTGTGCTGTCGACCGCAGTCGAGTGTTCAAGGTGCATGTCGCAGAGTCGGGATGAGTTACGTTGGCGTGACTGAGAACATGCAGAGTGACAGCGTGTTCAAAGAGGTGCGTCGATATCTTCTGAACTTTGCGTGTGACTGCGTGTTTGTGCATGTGTCCACGCCTTGCTCTTCTGGATCTTACTTGCGTCGGTTCTCTGGCGGGAGCTCGTCGAAGTCGGATTGGGAATGGTTTGAGGTGTTTCCTTGTGTGTTGAAGTACTTGAAGCTTGGGAAGCACTCGAGCTTTGAGCTGCCATGGAACAATGAGATTTGGCAACATGACTTGTGCCAGAAGGTGCTGAAGAAAGCAGGCCACACGTTCGATGTGCCGGTGAGGTTGTGCATGACTGGTCTTTGTTCGAAAGGGGGGTGAGCCTATAGGCAAAGTCTTGGGTTTTACTTCGACTTCTGAAAAGTTTGTGTCTGCCCTGAAGTGTTTTTCCAGCTGCAGGTGTGCTAAGCATGCAAATCTGTGGCAGGTTGGATGGACCGAAACAGGTTTTTACACTCCGAAACTCGCTGATGCGATTGTTCGAGGTGCGATCAAAACGTTGCAGTGATGCTTTTTGGGGGGTTTGGGCCGGGCTGTTGGCTGGGTTCGGATTCTCCTCTTGACGCCGGTTTCTTTGCGGACGTTGAGGTCTGCAGACAAAGCTCCGTACTGGTGCTAGTTGTTTTTGCGTGTGAAACCTAGGTGCGAACTCGTGCTGCCATGGTTCTCACGACCGATGAGCGCAGGGAGCTGCGCCGTTTGCTGGATAAGATGGATTCTGCAGATGGCTTGGCTTCGACTGCCAATACTTCTATGACCGATGGGACCAAGCGTCTCAGAGATGTGGGTGGATATCCAGAGGATGGGTCTACTGCATCAGGTTCTGCTTGCGGTGCCCAGCTGCCGATTTCAAAGGGAAGCGCAAAGGGTGTCGTGAGCACGCCCAAGTGTTATGAAGACCTCGTCGATGCCTTCGAGGGGGAAGAGTTTGGGGAGAGTGACAATGTGATTGTCGTGAGCTATGCGGGTACTGAGGTCACCTCGGTGCCACTTCCGAGTGATCTCTCCGTGGAGGATTGGGGTCGAACAATCTGCGATCTGCCAAAGGTCCAGAAGAATAAGACTTGGTTTAAGAAGTCCTATGCGGCCTTGGTCAAGCTATCCAAGGAGGATAGCGACCTTGCAAGCTATCTCAATTGGGTCAAGGAGAAATTTGGTCGCAGTTACGATCCGACGACCCCATCCAGTCAAGCCTCGGACCTTGCGGGGTATTTGATGAGGATTGGTTTTTCAAAGCAGAAGGGATTCCAGCGCAAACTGGCGGAGGAGTGAAATCCTTGCTGGATTGCGGAAGAGTTCTTTATCAATTTGGGAGCATGGGTACATGTATGAGCGGTGAGAGCTGGTATTCTCAAGGATGCCTATGTGTATATTCACTGTTAGAAGTCCGTTGGGCTTCGCTTTGGGTGATATCCTTTCTGGCATGAGAGAAGAGCTGGCTATCTGGCGCGAGATTTTCCAATACCTGTGTCTTCGTCGCTTCGCATGGGTTGCGGCGTGGCTACATGGTTGGCAATGTTTCAATGTGTGCTTGGTGTCGAGAAGTGCTTGTTTTGGACAGCAGCAAGGATGAGAGATGATACACACATCGAAAGGGGGTGTGAAAAGTTGTACCTGGCTCAAGCTGTTGTGGTTCAAACTGGCGAGTGGACGCTTTGCCGTCGTGGCACAGCCTTGAGTCCTACTTTCTAGAGGTCCCGACCAGTCCCCAAACCAACCGTGTACGTTTCGTAGGCCAGATAGCTGGCAAGGGTTGGGGCGGGCGGCCGGTAGGTTGTGCACGCGCGCTCGCTGAGCCGCAGCTTGGAACGCTCGGGCGAGACCTGTCACTGTCTCACGCTCACTCCCTCGCCGTCGTGGGCCTGCACAGTTGCTCCCATCGGCTTGAGGCTTGTGTTGTGTGTGCTAGTGGCTTGCTTAGTTCCTCGCCTCGGGCTGAGGTTTCCCTCGCCATTTTGGCAGAGGTATGCCTCACCGTGCCTACCACGTTTGCAAGCGCTGCCAGAAAGCCTGGGTGTGGGTCGACGAGCTTTGGAAACACCCCACCTGTCCGGCCTGCCAGGCTCGGTTCCCGAAGGCTCCAAGCCCAGGTAGTGGTTCCTCCACACCGACCCAGTCACCCACCAGGAACCCTCGCAAGCGCGCTCCCCGCTCCCGTAGGCAGGTCACTTTCAACGACGAGGCTGAGGTTGGCGACTTCTTCCCAGACGACACGCCCACTCCTCGCCCAACGAAGGCCCAGGATGATCGCTCCAAGCGCAACACCCGCATCCTTAAGTCCCTTCGGAAGGTGTGGGCTGATCTCCCGGACGAGGCCAGAACCCAGCTCAGCGATGCTGGTTTTGAGGCCCCTCAGACCTCTGATGTTGATATGGAGCCAGACCTCCTTGCCTTACTCCAGAACAACGTGGAGCGGCTCCCGGAGTGCATCCGCCAGGCTTTGCCTCCACCCCCTCCTGAGCCCACCCCCGACCCTCTCAAGGAAGGCCGTGAGTCGGGTAATGCTCTCCGTCGTTCCATCTTGAAGCTCAAGCAGTTGGGACAGGAAAAGCTCAGGCTCCAGGAGGAGATCAACAAGACCAAGACTAAGCTCCATGACCTTCTCCGCGGCATGCAGGAGCTTCAGGAGGCCATCTCTGAGGCAACCGATGTGGCCAGGAAGTGCTCTGACACCTATGAGAGAGGAGTCCTTCTGCACGTCCCCAAGAGTGAGGTAGACTTAGTTCTTGAAGCCTTGGGCTCTCTCCCGAGGCCCTCACGGAGGACCAAAAGGCCAACCTCAATGCCCTTCGAGCCTCGATAAAGCCACCTCCGGACATGCAAGCTCCCCCTGGCCTCGGGCCTACGCCTTTTAAGTTCGGCTCCCCTCCTCCCCCGGCAGGTGATGGACAGGCCAATGGTGATCTTACAGAGGAGGCCCAGGACGGATCTGCCGAGAACCCTGGGGCTCGCCAGGTCGGCCTTACCACCCCGACGAAGACCCGGAGCCGCTCACCTTCCCGAGTGCCCTCGGCCTCTGACGCTGCCAAGGCGACTGGTTCGTAGGAGGATGGTAGGGGTCCGGGGGCGGATTTTTGGGGGCCTCTTGGTCCAGTTTCGTTTCCCTCTGGCCCCAGCTTTCCCGCCCTCGACCCCGCACCCTCCCTCTTTCAGGTTCCCTCCCGCATACCTCCTCCCCTCGGCTTAGCCGTTTTGGAGCCTGAGGTTTCGGGCAGGTCCTTTTCCATTCCGCCGTCGGGCCAACTGCCCGTGGCTCAACTCCTTCCGAGCGAGGGGTACTGGCACACCTCTTTCTTTGAGGAGCCATCGGCCTCCTCCTCGGGTTTTAATTTCACTCTTGACGGCCCAGGTTCGGGAGCTTTCCTTCACCCTCAGGTGTTCGTTCCTCCCTCGGCCGGCTCTACCTCCTCCTCCCCTGGGTGGGTAGAGGTTCCACGCTCTTCTCGACGGCAGCCCCGGATTCTTCCTCTTGAGTCCTTGGTGGCCTCCCTCTCTTCTCACAGGGCCGGTTTACTTCCCACAGGCTTTCGCCTCGGACCCCGACCCTGCCTCGACCTGGTGCCCTAACTTGGCCCAGCCCTCCGGCCCATCGAGCCGTCGAGGTGCCAGGCGCGACAGACGGTCCAAGCACCGGCGCCACCGGCTCCACATGCCGGGCCTTTTCACCCAGCTCCAGGTCGAGATGTGCGACCAGGCCCTGAACCCTGGCTCCTCGGTTGAGCGCGACCTTGTTGAGTTTGCTTCTAAGGTCGAGGATGCTATTTCGCCGGGTTCTTCCGAGGAGTGGTTTTTGGAACGTGCCCTTGATGCCATCCATGATGACACACCCTCCCCTGCCAAGTGGCACCTCCTCAAGCAAATGGCTCAGGTTCTCTCGATGCAACATAATACTCCCCACAGCCCCGCTTCCTTCAGGCTCCTGTCTGCCAATGTTACTCACTGGAGGCCAGAGGTTAGGGATTGGGCCTTCTCTTCTGAAGGCCATGGGGTTCTGCTTCAGGAGCTTCACCTCACCACGGAGGCTGCTCATGAGGCTGCGATTGCCGCCTCTAAAAGAGGGTTTCGCCTCTTTTCCTCGCCTCCCTTCCTGAGTGATAAGAGGCGCCCCTTGGGAGGTTTCGGTGTCCTCATCCGCTCCTTCCTTAACCCTCGTCATGTCCTCACCCACACCGTTGAGGGTTGTGGTTTCCTGGCAGTTTCGCTTCGGTGTTCCGGTTTCGAACTGACCCTGGTTTCCATTTACCTCCAGTCCGGTACTGGCTTTAACTCTCCGGTCAACGCCGATGTCCTAGCTCGCCTCTTAGCCTTTCTTCCTTCCCTCCGGGGTGTGTGGATTGTCGCGGGTGACTGGAACAACCCCATACAAGATCTCCTCGCCACACGGCTTGAGGAAGTTTCCCATGGGCGTTTCCTGGGTTCCGGTTCCCCCACCGCTGCAACCGACCGGGAAATTGACTTCTTCCTTGTCTCGTCTCCGGCTGTTGCTTCCTTGTAAGTGGTTCAGGACTGGGTCGTCCCCTTCAAGCCTCACTGCGCCCTGCGGGCCACTCTTCAGCTCAGCTCTCTGCAGCTTCCCTACCCGCAACTCGCTACCTTTTGTGAGGTCTTTCCCGACCCTCTGCCCTTTCAACCCTCGGTCCCGAGCCCCTCGCCTGTCGCTGAGGTTAATCTTCTTGGCCTCACTTCCACCGACAAGCTCACTCTCGACTTCGCCGAGCTGAGCTCCTTCCTTGAGGTCTCTCACGGGTTCCCCGACCGAGGGCGTGGGGCTTTCGTCCCCCTTCTTCACAAGCCCCTCGTCCAGGGCCACTCTGTCACTTTTGCCTGGAAAGGCCAGCTCCCCTCCTTGGTGTCAGCCGTGCTTCACCTGCTCGACCGGCCCGAAGCTGTGCAGCCCTTCTTGTGGTCCACTTCGGACACTTCCCTTCCCTCGGAGGTCCGCGCCTTTTGTGACCGGGTGCGCGACGGCTCTGCTTCTTCCGCCACCCTCCGCGCCGAAGGCACCGCCCTCCTTGGCCAACTCCGGCGCGAACAAACTGCCCAGCAGGCTGACCAGTACGGCGAGTGGCTTGAGGCAGCTTCGGGTTCACACCTGGGGCCGCTCTTTCGTGCCATCAAGTCCCATGAGCAGGTGCTTGACCGACCCTTTCAAGACTGCGATGGACTCCGCCGTGTCTTTGAGAGGCACGAGCATTGGGCCCGCGTTTGGCATGCCTCGGTTTTCCCCCAGCACTTTTCTCACCCTCTCCTCGCGGAGCTCCGCTCGAGGGCCGTCTCCCATGCTGGCACCCTGGCTCCCCTGACTGTCCCCAACCTTCAAAAGCTTCTTAAGAAAGCGGGGAAAAAGAAAGGGGGCCCAGACGGTTGGAGCTACCCAGCCCTCCGTGCACTCGACCCGGCGGCTCTTCAGCTCGTAGCCGACTTCCTCGCCCGTGCCGAGGCTGAGGTCCTTCTGCCCTTCCAGCTCACTTGTGTTCAGGTCGCTCTTCTCCCGAAGTCGGCCGACAAGGAGCGCCCCATCAGTCTTCTCCCCTGCCTGTGGAGACTGTGGGCCCGAGCCAGGTGGAAGGACGTCGCGGCGCCTGGACGTCGGCTTACGCCCCCGCCCACCCGTGGGACCGAGCGGTTCCGGGCCAGGCCAGCCTTGACACGGCGTTGGCCCGCCTTGTCAGGTCAGAGCATTCGAAGCTCGAGAAGACTCACATCGTGAGTCTCTTCCTCGACTTGCGAGGTTTCTTCGACTCTGTGAGCTATGAGCGCCTTCTCCTCCAAGGGCTCGCTCACAGTTTCCCTCCTCTTCACCTCTGGTTCGCCCTCCAGGTCTACCAGGGTCCTCGCTGTCTCGTGGCCGACTCGATCGCTGCCACACCGCTCTTTCCTGGCCGGGGCGTACCCCAGGGCTGCCCCCTCGCTCCCTCGCTTTCCAAACTTACCATGTCTGAGCCACTCCAGAAGGTTTCCTCCCTTCCCTCCGTCACCAACACAGACTTATGGTTGGACGACGTGAGTTTAGACGTGGTGGGTTCTGACCCTGTCGAGGTCGCTTCCGCAGCGCTTCAGGCCTACCGGGTTCTTCACGCCTCCCTCGGCCTTGAGGGCCTAGAGGTTGAGACAACAAAGACCAAGTTCGTTGCCGGTACGGTCCGCGCTCGCGCCGCGCTTCAGCAGCTGCGACGCCCGGGCGAACCCGACACCGCTGACCTTGTCAAGGACCTAGGTCTTGACTGCGCTGCAGGCCGGCGGCGGCGCATCACCACCGCCCAAAAGCGCTTTCGCACAGGCATCGGTCGTGTCCGCCACATGCGCCGCCTCCGCATCCGCCGCAGGTGGGTTCGTGGCCGGCTGCTCCAAGCCTCCGCCCTCAAGGCTGGTCTTTATGGCCACCAGGCCGTTGGGGTTGCCCCTAAGCGCCTTAAGGTTTTACGCTCCGCGGTTGCGCGCGAAGCTGGCCGTTTTGAGCACGGCTCCGCCGACGTGATTCTCGACCTCATGTCCCACAGGGCCGTTGACCCACACCAGCTTGTGGTAGTGGAACAGCTTCAGGCTCTTGGGCGACTTGCCTCCAGCGCCTCACCCGAAACCTTGCGGTTACTCACCCGCACTTGGGCCTCCTCCTGGTCCAGACAGGCCTCTGCCACCCATGGGTGGAAAATCGTGAACGGTCCCGTGTCCGCGCTCATCCAGTACTTGCTGGACCTGCGGGTGTCTGCCCCTACCCCTGAAGTCTGGACACACCGCGAGGCTACCTTTCACTTCCGCTTCCGCGAGCCAGGAGCGGTTTTCGAGGCCTCCGCTTTCCTTCGCCAGGTCATTCAGCTCGAGCGCTGGTCCCGTATTGGCGCCGTCTCCACTGCCGCTGGTGCCGCCCTTGGCATCGATTGGACCGTGCCGCGCCGCCTCTTAGCCAGTTCTCGGACGAAGCCCTGGCGGCACGGCCTTAGGGCCGTCTTTCAAGGCGCCCTCCTCCACTCGGGCAACGGAGGGAAGGAACGGTGCAAGTTCTGTGGAGCACCCAACACTCTGCACCACGTGAGAAAGTCCCGGGCGCTCTTATGCCCGCAGGCTGGCTGTTGTCTTATAAAAGGCGCCACCCTGCCGAGTGCCTCTGGCTGCGCGGAATGCGGCCCCTCAACACCCGCGATCCCCTCGCCCACGAGGCTGAGGTCCGCCGCACTGGTCTCTTCCTCGAAGGCACCCCGGACTTAACTGGGCTTTTCGTTGCTACCGACGCTTCCGGTGGCCCTGCCACCAAAGACAGTCGCCTCCGCTCGGTCGGTTGGGCCGTCATAGTCGCTAGCAGCTAGCAGGCATGATGGCGACTTCTCTGTCCTTGGCACCCTGTCGGGGCTTTTGCCGGCCCCCGCCTCCGTCCCGGAAGGCGAGAGTGAGGCTATCGCCCAGGCCCTCCTTTCCTCTCGAGGCACTTTCGACCTCACCTGTGACTGCCAGCCTGCTCTCCGGAGCCTACAAGGCCCCTTTACCAAGCGCACCTCGCTTGTGTGGTCTAAGGCGTGGGACCAAAGGCACAGAGCCGAGCCCCACTGGGTCCGCTCCCACCTCAACTCCTCGGACTTTTGTCTTGAGTTTGGTGCAGATGCTTTGTGGCGCCGCGAGCTCAACTCCCTGGCAGATAAGCTCGCTAAAGACCGCGCTGAGGAAGTCCAGACTCCTCACCGCCTTGCCGCCCAAAAGGAGGTTGACCGGGTCACCTCCCTCGTCTGCGAGTACTTGGGCCGTCGCGCCGCTGCAATTCTTGCCAAGGCCGAGAAAGAAGACTTTGTCCCGCGGAAGAATCGCCTTCTCTCCGCCCTTGAGTCCTCCGCTTCCCCCTCGCCCAACAAGAGGCAGAGGTTGCAAGCTCTTCTCGACGAGCCCCTTCTTCCAGGCGGGCACGTCTGGACCCAAACCTCAAAAGAAAAGAGCTTTAACCTGTGTGTTAAGTGTTCTGAGTGCTCCTTGTGCATTTACCAGGTTGACACACCGGACACCTTTGAGCGCCTCATTTCCTTCCCGTGCCGAACGGCTGCGGTTTCGTGCCCTTTTGCTGCTCACCCCTCGCACTCCCTCGTGCGTCAGGGGCCGTCCTGGAAGTGCAGCCAATGCCACGGTCACGTGACCCTGCGAATGGGCGCCGCGCCAAAAAAGCTCGTAGCGCCCTGTGCGCTTCCTTCGGTGCGGGGGTTCTTTTCTAAAGGTTCCTCCCCTTCTGGGCCCCAGGTTTTCCCTCCTGCCTCTGCTGCTGCCCCGGTGGTTCCCCCTGTGCCTTGCTCTTGGGTTCTCCTCAGGGTTCTGCGCCTGCTGCTGCCCTCACTTCGGTTGAGGTCCTAGCACCCAAGGCTTCCTCTCCCCTCGAAGGCTCTGGGCCCCCTTCGGAGGTTTCTCAGGCCCAGGCTTCTTCAAGCCTTGGTTCGTCACTTGAGGCCCCGGCTCTAAAGGCCTCTCGGCCCGCTCTGCCCGTCGAGCCATTCCCTCGCCTTCGGCTGAGGGCCCCTCTTCGGCAGCCGGACGTGGGTCCTGCCTCCTCGGCCCTAGCAAAGGCTCCCCTCCCAGGCCCCCCTGAACAGGGCACCCCTGCCTCCAAAGCCACCGGCTCTTCGGAGACCCCTGGGGTCAAGCCCTCGCCTCCGGCTGAGGTTGCAGCCTCTCCTTCAGTTGGCCATGAACCACAGGCTACCGCCCGGCCTTTCTCTGGCCCTCCTGGCACTTCGTCAAGGAAGGGTGAGCCTCCCTTTTCCACACCCCGTGGCCCGGGTAAAGGGGCCACAATCGTCAACGCTGCATCGGCAGTTGCAGCCTCCACCGCTGTCTCGACAGCTGGAAGTGGTCCTCTTGAGACCCTCGCCTCCTTGGCTGAGGTCCCGGGTCTCTCCACGTCCCCGCCGGACCCTGCAGAGCCAGGTCTTGAAGGCCTCGCTTCTGTTGCCGAGCAGAGGAAGCCCAGCCCTAGCTTCCCGAACCCCTCAGGGGTCTCGGGCGACGAAGCTACGGACTCTCCAAGCCCTTCTCCTCGCCGGCCGGCTAGAGGTCCGGCTCCAGCTGAGGCACGTGAGGAGCCGGCCCACGTGCAGGTCTTCAGCGAGAACTTCCTCCGCTGTTTTGCATGCGGGGTCACTACCTCCAATCAACAACTGATGGAGGCCCACGCCATGACGGCGAGGCACGTCCGCCTCACCACGGCCTATGTGGCCAAGCGAAGGCGTGAGCTGGCAGCGGCAAAGGCTGCCCAGCCTCCTGTGTCGTAGGCTCTGAGCTTCGGCACACCTCTGGCTCCTTCCTCGCCTTTTGGCTGAGGTTCGACCCTCAGCGGTGCTTGGGAGTGCCCTGGGCATCCCTCAGCTCTTTCCTCGCCTGCTCGGCTGAGGTCTGCTCCTGAGGCAGCTTGCCTGGGTCCCGGTAGAACCCGCCTGTACAGTCTTTGGTAGGGCCTACCCCTCGTCTGAAAACGACTGAGGTTGGCGGGTGTAACTAGCCACCTGTAGTCTAGGACGTCGGGCCGCCCTCGCCCAAAGTGGCTGAGGTTCTTCTCACTTGCATGTGAATTCATCTTTCGGACTCGTCTACGACGGCTTGCAGCCCGGCGAAGAAAAGTTGTACCTCTGAGCTGCCTGTTGAGTGGTGGAGCCGCTCAGTGTGCTGGGCTGCGATATGTATATCATCAGGCTGCTGACTGCAGTTTGGAGTGCAAGCCAATTTTCCTGCGATTCCTGGAATTTTCTGAGGTGCAATGGTTATCTGGATATATTCTGCATGGTTTTGGCTTTGCAGAGGTTTTCTCAAAGCACTGGAAGATTTTCACTGGGAGCTGCGGTTTTCATGGCATGGAACCTTGGTTTTCAGCTGCGAGAACAGTTTTCGACATGTGGCATGAGTTGCTTGAGCTTTTGAGTGAGATGAGTGAATGCTGTGAGCCGTTAGTCCGCATGAGTTCTCGAAGGCCTCAAGGTACCTTCTCGAACAGCTGTAGTGTATGCGAGTTTGTTTGCCAGCGTGGAGCTTGTAGGGAAGCTGTGACGGTATGCTTTTGAAGCGAAGTTTTGTTTTGACATGTGCTGAAGCACATGTGAATCCGGAGTGCCGCGCTTATGTGTGGCTCAAGGCTGGAAAGCTTTGAGACTGAAGCTCGTTGAAAGAATGGGCCGATGATGAAACACGTTCTGAGGCTCATTAAAGCAAAGCTTAAAGCAAAGCTTTAGGTGACAGCAGTGCAGTGCAAGAACAGCTGAACACTTTGTTTGTTGCGCGAGCAAAAGTCTGTGCAGACCTTGACGGGTTGTTCAGGGTTTGTAAGTTTTACACACAGGCAAGCGTGGCCGGCATCCAACCCTCGGGTGCAACGACATGGTGGCGGGGGCCTGCCTGCCCACGTCGTTGAGTCCGCCTCTGCAAAGCACGCTTAAGCCGAGTAACCCCAGGTGTCGCTTGCTCCAGAAACAAAGACACAACGACGTATGTCGTCGGTCACAACCGTCAACCGGAAGGCCAGCTACCGCCTAGCGCGGCCAGCTATCAAGTAGGCGCTGCATGTCACGACCGCTCGAAGGGAAGTGACTCTCCCTTAAGAGATAGAGCAGCTGGTAATTGCCGTCCTGATAGATTTCCTTCACTGTATTGTGACTGTCCTGATCTGGAGCATGCAGATGTGGCATTAGGTCGGTGGATATACACGGCAATTGGAGGCCCGGTCCGACGCCCCCTTGCCTGTGGAACTCCTCAGCCGCTGCCCTCCATTCTTCATGCGCCCAGAGATGCCCCAGCCTGACCCAGGGACGCTCGCCACCCGGCAGCTCCTGCGTCTGATTGTCCTCCCTGGCAACCAACCGGTGGAGGAGGACCATCGCTTTCGAGTCAAATGCGTCGAAATGCGCGAAGCGCCACAGCCGGTCTGGGAAGTAAAATTCTTTCTTTTGTGGTCCTCGTATCCAATAGGCTACCACCGTCCGGAGGTTCCTGCCGGTACACACCGGCTAGCAATGGATGTAGCTCCCGGCACTAGGCGACTAGGCGGAGTCTCCACGGCATTCAGCAGAGCCGCCAAACGTTGGACCCATGCAGTTCTCGGGGCGGGGCGGCAGGAAGGGAGGCAGCGCAACTTTGACTGCGCAGCTCCGCAGTCAATGCAGGATCCTCCTTTACAGGGTGCCTGCATCCGGGTCCGGAGCAGACCTTTCCCTAGAAAGAGCGCGCCTTGATGGATCGGCCACTAGGTCCGCTGTGCTCAAAGTCCATCCCCCGAAGGAGTAACTGGACCGGGTTACCTCCTGTTTATTCACACTTTTGCCAACTGTTGAAGTCTTCCAAAAATCTAGCATCTTAACCTTGACCTTCTTGAATCCAAGCCAACAACTGCGCCTCTATGCTGTCTAGTTGTTTTTGCTTGTATGCAATGACGGTAAGTTCTGCGGCGCTCCATTGCGGGTACCTGCCAACCGTCGGCTCCAATGAAAATTGCTGACAAGGCTTCTACTAAACGGTTTTGCTGATTTTCGCTGTGTTGCGTTTTCGGCTGGTCTTTTTCCAGACCCCGAGATGTCTTTTTCCAGACCACGCGATGTTCGACAGCCGCGGTCCAAAAAAAGACATTGATTTTTTTTTCGGCCCCAAGCAGAGGCCAGAAAAAAGACAAGTTGGAGGCCGGAAACAAGATCCTTTGTCGTGTGTGTGTTTTCGCTTGTATTTTTTCATTCTTATTTTCTTTGCTTTTGCCCCCTAAAGCGATATCGTGTGTCTTCTCCTTCCTTCGTGTTGGAAAACGTTTGATTGATATTTTTTCGATAACACAGTTTGATTTCTTTCGTTCGCTTTCAGCCCTTAAAAGCGATTTCGTGCTTCTTCTTTTTGTGTGTGTGTGTGAGAAGTTATAGTATGGTTAAGTTAGTTTTTGTGCGGTTTGCGTTGCAAAAGTTCATATTGTGGCGCTCTTTGTTGTGTTGCTTGACGTGTCATGTGTGCGTGCTTCTATCTTTGCTGAGGTCAGAAAAAAGACATTAGAGGCCCAGAAAAAGATCCACCGGGGTCCGAAAAAAGACACGGGGTCAGTTACGAGATATTTCGGGGCCGAGAAAAAGACGGCTTAAATCGTAGAGTGGAGGTCGAAAAAAAGAGCGTAATCTTTTTCCAGACCTCATCGCGGGGCTGAAGAAAAGATGGAGGTCGGAAAAAAGACATGCCGGGGTCGAAATCAAGATGGACCAAGCGTGGGGTCTGAAAAAAGATATTTCGGGGTCGAAAAAAAGAGCAGCCCGCATGTTTTAACGTGGTTTAGATGTAACGCGGATTGTGTCACTGTTAACTTTTGAAAGCCATAAGAATTGACTTGTGTTCGCAACACTTGAAAATTGCCTCTGGAAGATTCGTTCCAAAAAAGCGGGAAGCATTCAGCTTGCCGGGCTGGAGCTGTGGTCTAAAAAGAAGGGCTCAGTGATTCAATGGCTCAGGAAGTGCTTGTAAAAAAAAAAAAACAAATCTTGATTTTGATTTATTCAAGTTTTATGACATTTTGACACTTGTCTTGATCTTTTTCGTATTTCCATTAATGTTACCTTCCATGTTATGTCATTGTGCATTTTATTTGTTGCTTACATTGTCAATTGTTAGCGAGATAATCAGATACAGTAATCATGATCAGAGTCTATCATTTGCGAACGACGAAGCTGCACGGTGGCACCAGCCACCTTTCCAACTGCCGACGATTCTTTCTTGGTCCGCCTGGTCCTTCGGTTCCAGCTTCTGACGCCCGATGTGTTTCAAGTCTGTTGAATTTGGTCAAAGAGTCGTAGTCGAATGACTTCAACGTGTCAAAGAACAAAAAGAAGTGGTCGTATGGTGTCGTCCCGCTACCTGCCTGACATGTGAACATACTTGAACATTGCCTGGAGAAGAGTGCTTCGCACCCTCTCGCCCCGGCTAGGGCGCCTTCAAGAAGAGTTTTACAGAGTTCCCAAACCCGCGGTTCGAAAATGGAGTTCCACGAACCCAGAGTTCGAAAGCGGGGAAATGGATGTGAGGATGCGCGATTGGTGAAGCTTAGTGTTTCGGGATTGATTGTGTTTGGGTTTGAGCTGCGAGTGCTGCTTCTGTTTGGGGGGTTGGTTGGCCGTCACAAAGGTGTCGGATTTTGGGTGATTAGGATGCGTCATGGCGCCATCTGTTAATGACACGAAAGCTAGAAGTCAAGTCAAACCGAATCTTCTCGCAAGGAGAATCGCAGCGACACCCACAAATCCCCGGCATCTCCACAAGGTGACTGCATCATGCGTCGTGGGGTGTTGGGAATTTCCAGCAGGTTACTGGTACCCCTGCAACCATACGTATGGTGCGTGCACACACACGACACGCCTTCCCCACATACAGCGAGCGAGCACAGACCAGCCCAGTTTGCTTGGCGGCATGACAGAATTTGCTTTCCGGCTGAAGTTTTTGCATCTCTCTCACGGCTTTTCCTGCTGGGCATAAACTTGATGCTCACGTGAAGGATGCGCAGCGGATGAGAATCTCCGAATAAGTTTGCTGCCACGGTTGTTTGCGTGCTCTTGCCAAACCTTCGCTTTTGCCGTTCTCGCAGACGTGGCAAGCAATGCGGACTCATTTTTTGTTGTGTGCACCATGCGAAAATTTTTCATATACCAGCATTCAATGAATTATTTGCCAAATGTATTGACAAATAACATCAATTATTTTTGTTTACTCATAGACAAACTGTGTGCAAATATTTACGTATCGCAGATTAAAAATGCACGTTTTGCGTTTGCGCAAACATGAGCGATGAAGATGGCATAGAACAAATTACAAGCGCAATCTCTGGGGTTAAAGGTATGGTTTAGTTAGCCGTCGTTCTGAACAAAGCATATGTTTTCAGCTGTACTACCAAAGCAAATCGAAGAGCAGTTGTTGGATAGATGCAAGATGCAGACCTTTTGTGGCTAGTTGCTTGAGAACATCATACAGCACAGTGTGTTGCGTTTGCGACCAAAATGATGTCTATATCGAGTGTTTTCGGTCAATGTTGTCCGTTGTGGCTCTGCACATTGCGGCCGTTCAAGCATGTTTTTTGTGGTTTGTTAGTAGTGTGCGTTCGGGGGATGCACGTGTTCCAAAAGTGGTTTGGTTTCCTGTCATGTGCATGTGGCTTGAGATGGCAGATTTTCAGTAAGTAATATACCGCTTATATGCACACATCTTGTTCAATCAATCTTCGTGCAAGTTGTATGTGTCAGCTGTTGGCGGGATTGCAAAACGCTGCCTAGGTGACATGGTGAAATCATGCTCCAACATCCGATTCATTGAGCGCTGGTCTGCATCATGGTTTGTGCGGGCTCGCCAACAAGCCTGCTGCAGATCCGTGGTGCAAGGTAAGGCCCGAGGCATGCTCGGAAAGTGCAACCGAAGCGAGGCCTTGAGCGCATTCGCTATCTCGACGCACAACCCCCTCGAGCACAGTGCAGTGAAAGAATACTAAAACAATCCACGACAAAAAGGTATCTGTGACAACAACCCCCTTTTCCTGCTACTCGCGGCATCGTTGCTGCCGCTCTGGTTCCGCACGTGGGGCAGAAGTGGGACTGCATTGCCTGAAGGTCGTGCAGGCAGGGATGCGGCAGTGAGTTGTGTCTGCAATCAATGTGCTCGGAATGCATTGACACAAGAAGGAGCCGGGAGCTGTAAGGTCTCGGTGACTTCGAGTTCGAGGGTTTTCACGCTCAGTCTCACGGCACAGAGTCCTTCCGATCCTTACTGCAATCTTCAACCCGAAGCCGATGCTGCGCGTCCCGGCGCCCCGTGATAGCATTTTTTTGGCAGTTGACTGCCGAATTGTACGACAGTCAGTGGTGGTCAGTGATGTATGCTAAATGGTTCTCCCGTCATTGCAATCATGATGCTGGCAGGCTTCGCTAGATATGCGGGCGGCTCGTGCCAGCACTGGCCCCAGCTGCGCAAAGTAATTTGCTACAATTGGCATCCTGGTTGTGATTCACCGCTTATTTGAGTCAGTAGATGACGTTAGGTTACTTTGCAATGCAGGTTTTGCCATCTGAGATTCCGACTGAAGGAGTGCAGTGTCTTCTGGGCAGCTCTAGACATCCTCCGACCTTATTCTGAGCCCACGTCGGCCGAGGTGTCCTGTTTGCCGTTGGCGTGGTCGCCCTTGTCGTCCCGCATCGTGGCTGCAAGACCGTGCACCTGACGTGCTGCAGAGGCTTTGAGTCCAATGAGAGCATGCGCGGCCTCCGGCCTTGGCTTTCTTGAAGAAAGCCGTGCTATGGCTATTCCGCAAAACATGTCGAGGGTGCGAAGCCTCAGGCAAGCCACGGTCCTTCCCCGAGATGCCGCCAAGCCAAGGTCCCTCAATTTTCTGCCCGGTGGCTTCCGGCCGACTACGGTCCCTCCCTTGCAGCCTTGCGCAGTCCCAGTGCTCCCAGCTCACGAAGAGCAGTCGTTTGTTCTTCTAATTTCAGACACCCTGTGTTGCAATCCGAAGTAGTCTTCACAGTTAAACAGCTCCGCTGGGCAATGACGTAGCGAGACAAATCTGCTATGCTCACCATGCGAGTGATTCTCCCAGGCGTGGCTGTTTTGTTTCCGAATCTTTATAATTAGTTCAGGACTTCAGAGCACAGCGCTCCTTCTGATAGGAAGAAAGTCGCAGAAGTCTCGCCGCCCTGCTTCGCCCGCCCGGAGCTGCAGCCAGAAGCTCGCATGGCCATGTGTCTAAGGACCAAACCAGGGCATGAGCCGTATGATGCCAGTTTCTATGTTGTCGGCGAAGCGCCGCCGCACAGCAGAAAGTTAGAAAAAATACAGGAAAGCACAAAAGCGTGGGATCCATCGCTTTTGGCTACGATCCCAGATGCGAAAGCAGATGCCAAAACCTGACGCACACACGTCACCCCTTCAACCTCACAGCCACAGCTGCCAAGAGTGGACCGACAGAAGAGTTGGCGAGCAGAGACAAGAGGGGAATTCAGAATTGGCATGTTCCTTTGGATTGAAGATGGCACCGGCAGCAATGAGGACGGACCGCAGTGTTGTGGTGGCCAGGGTTTGCAGAGATGTGTAATGTTGGAAGGATTAGACTTCGGAGTGGAAGCCAGAGCATGGAACATCGAGCACCCAAGCACCCAATTCAAGATATGCCTGCGCGCTTACCACTGCCCCAAGCTCAAGCATTCCGCTGATTCTTGCACCCAGTCGGAAACCGGAAGCCCTCGGTGTCAGGGCTTGGGATATGGGATTCGGAGGGATTCCAGCAACCTTGGCCAGGTGCAGGAGGAGGGTGGCAGTGGTGTTCCGCCCGAGATGCTTGGCTGGCCTTCAGACATGCCTCCGTTGTGACTTCTGACCAGTGACCGCACGTGTTGTCCATAGCTCTCATAGGACGCGGAAGGGTTGTTTCTTGTCCTTTGTTCCCTGACCAGGGACGAGGACTTCGAGCGGTTTTCGCCGCAACCTCGCCAGAGAAGGCTGCGTTGTTTGCAGCCAATTTTGTGTCGGTTGCTTTGCAGTGGCAGGCTTCCGGTAGAGGCATGCTTCGGTCTTCCCGAGCACATTTCGTCTGAGAGCCTGCATGTGCTCCGGACAGAAGGCACTCGCAGAGTTCACGAAGATCATCTCGAAGCTCGCGACAGTCGAGGCATCTCGTTTGTGCAGATTGCAGCACGGTGTCAAACACAAACCTCGAATGTTGGATGCACAGGCCGCTAGGACCCTATAGGAGCGCAAGGGTACTTCAAGGTTGCGGTTTTGGGCCTCAGTCCAAGCTTTTCATCTAGGGTGAACCGGGAGAGGCGTTCTCAGACCTCGCGAGCCTCGAAGGACCGCCTCTGGATGTGAAGCCTGGTTGTTGCCGTCATGGACAGTTGGGAGTATTTCGAGTTAGGGAGAGTTTCTTATCCTGGCTGCTGTTTTGACAATTGCTACCCGTTTTACTTTCTGTTCCCGTTGAGTGTCCTAGCCGTTGGTAGAGTTCCTTTTCTAGATCTGTTCATTTGATGCGTGCTAGCGCAGTAGATAGGTTTGTTATTGCCCGAACGAACATTGCCAACCATAGCCACGAACATGAGGCAAATGAGTTCTTGCCGCGGGTTTATTATGTTTTCGGAAGAGCCCATAGCCCATGTTACAGTTTCTTCCGACAAGTGGCCTTCACCGAGCCAGGAGCAAGAGCAAGAATAATTATGGCAAGACAGGTCACACGACGAATGCAATCTAACGAACAATAACAACCAGAACACATCCCTCTTTGCTAGTAGCAACGGCCAGAATCAGAACAGCTTGGGGTTCGGGTCTTCCTGGGCGCATCATGAATCATGCCGCGTTGAGTTGTTTTTGGCTGCTGGCTCTTCTGTTTTTTTGTTCCGGTCACGCCTTTACTACTTCCGTGTTGGGTTTGCCAATGGGCTTTCGGATAGATGACCAAAGCCGGAAAACTTGCGCCGTGGAAAATTGAACATGTAGTCGCGAAGCCTTACCAGGTATCATTTGAAGAAACATGGGGCAAAGGATGCCGGGGTCGCTGCAGTTGATATGGATGAGACGTTGTTTTCGCAAGTGAAGTGCGAGTGTAGCCGTGTAGCCGCAAGAGGAGTCCCCAAGTGGAGAAGAAGCCCGGCAGAAGTTCGCCTCTCGTCGGAATCTTCCTTTTTTGAAGCCTTATAGAGCTTGGAGACTGAGAGCCCCCACCAGATCAGACGACTGCCAGTGTGATGTCATGGCCGTGACCGGAGCTCTCCGAGGCAGACAGGACATCCATGGGCTCTGCCTTCTCCTCTGCCTCGATCTTCGAGACCTATCGGCCTCGCGAGTCTGAGCAACTCGCCGTAGGGAAAATGCGGGTGCTGCGGGATGGCCGAATCACATCCTGCACCCCTTATCTCAGGAACTGGTGGCAGATCTGCAGACCCCTCACTCTGTGGATTGTGTCCATCGTGGCGGCAACAGGCCCCAGATACGTGCGATTGCAGGACAAGTCGATAGCGGGTTTTCGGAAAACTGGATTGCAATATGAAGCTGTGCAGCGAGGCATCTCGGTGCCGATGTACACTGTCGGGGACTTCGTCCTGACCGAGGGCTCCTTCGGTTACGACACCCAGGCCGGCATGGGGTTGGGCAGTTAGGTGGGCTGGTCTGTGAATATCGTTGACTTCTGGGAGTGGGGGAGTCCGTGCACCTCGCAGTCCTCCACGCTTCCCGGTTACGAAAGTCCACCCCGCACCTTGCAGTTCTTAACCTCCGCACCCTTCAGGTGAGTGACCCAGGGATATCGCAGCTCCAGCGCTGGCTCCATGCGGCGCGCCTAACAAAGCACGACGTGGGCCTGGGCCTGTCGACAGGTGGGAGGGTGGCTCAGGGTGGCTCGGGGTAGCTGGACAGGATGGCGGCTTTGCTTCAGTCGGGGTTGTGATGTTTACTTGATGGCTCTCGCATCTTTGAAATGCCGGATTCGTGCCGCAGCTCGGGTTGGGGACCTGTGTCGCGGTTCGTCAAAGAGCTCGTTCCCAGCAGCTCTGGGGCAACATGTGTCTTGCTCAAGAGGCAGTTACCAGGCCCTCGATGTATTTCTTTTGTGTTGGGGTGCGTTTATGCATGTGCACGTGTGTGCGTGTGTGCGTGTGTGTGTGTGTGTGTGTGTGTGTGTGTGTGTGTGTGTGTGTGTGTGTGTGTGTGTGAACCTCCCTAGCACATGGGAGCAGAGGGTCACTCCTACACTGTTTGCAATTTTTGCTTTTCAACTTAATCAGACATTGGACATTTACCAAATCAACTGTTGCAGGGGGACACAGCATGTCACTGGGACTGTGTCCAACGAAGCTACCAGTGACATGGGAGGAGAGGACTGATCATCCTCTTGTACCTGCATGGCAGCCCCCTGTGGTGCCAAGATTAGTCTGAGGACAGGCCCCCTGTGGTGTCCAGATTAGACAAACAATTTTTGTACGGTTGCCGCAATCTGACAAACTTTTACAACATGAACAACATGCCTCTCTTTTTCCTCTTGCACTCGTACTCTTGGCCGAATCCATCAGTGTGATCAGCGTGGGTCGATGAGACTCCAGAGCAACGGCTTTCCGTCATGGCGCCGTGGTGACCCTCCGGGGAGACCGGTGATGAACCGGGTGTTCAGCCTTCGTTCAGATCGTTCAGATTCTCCAGATGCTACTTTATCTCTCTCTCTCTGATGCTCGCATGTGAGTCTGACATGAGTGCAGGTGCAGTAAGGGACGGCTAATGCAGTAAAGTGCGTCTAGTGAGCAGGTGCTACCTCTCTAGTCTGCCCCGTATTTTACCGCTTCTTTATTCCTCAGGGACTGCAAGGGCATGTGCATCTGACATGAGTGCAGACGTGGTAAAGATGTCTACAGCAAGTGAAGCAGCGCTCTCTTCGGAGAGTACTCGGCCCTCTTCCTTCTCTCCGTCTACGACCTCTCAAATCAGTCCAGCAGGGACAATCAGGACAGCCTGCACTTTGCTTGTGCAACTGTGCTTGTTTCACCCACTTCGTTGTAGCTATGTGGCCGGATTATTTTGCCGCGCAGCACCCAGCAACACCTTATGCACCAACAGCCCGACCGGTGCTTAATCAATTTCACCAGAACATCTGGGTACCGCAGTCACAAAGCTACCCAGCAATGATGCCAACCGGCATTGCTGCCACTCAGCAGCCCACACTGCCGACATAACCCACTACGATTCCTGTTGAGCAAACGCACGGCTTCCCCATGATGCCGTGTGGACACACTGCTCCTATTCCACAGCATCCGACGGTCTACACACATCTCAGCACACCACAACCCCAGATGCCACAACAACCTCCACCCCAGCAATTCATGTCACAACACCCCACCCCGATCATGAACCCTGCTCTTTTGCCTACCCAGCCAACAGCGTTTCCCATGAGCCCATCTGCTTTGGCACAGCATCAGGCCCAACCTACCACATTCAACCTTCCTTTTACACCACCTGCCCCACAACCCCAACTTGCACCTTGCAACATCCCTCCCACACAACCCGTTCCACAATCCCACATACCGCCGCCAACAACAATCCAACAAGCTCCACAACCACACCCCACCAGTGTTCCCACTGCCGATGCTGCACACACTGCCCCGCAGACACCGGCAATGACGCCCCAACAACAACCAACAAACACAGCCAACACCCCTTCCGTCAATACAGTGCCACCCGCACAACCACCCCCAGATACGGGATCGGCAGACACTGACCAGCTCGCAGCACGTACTTCTCCCCATCACCCTCCGCTGCCACGCAGACGACGGCGCTCACCCACACGCAGCAGAACTCGCACCGTGAGCACTAGACGTCGACGACACACACGCAGCCGAGCACGACCTGCAAGCAGCGGCAGACAGCACCGCCGACGCAGACACCACCGATCCCGCGACACTCGCAGAAGCCGTTCTCGCAGGGACACCAGGCGATCTTCATCGACACCTCCTCGGACCTCGGTTGTGCTCCGCAGCTATTCTACAGTGCGTGATGATGATGCCAACAAGTGGCATTACAGAGCCACACAGCCACGTCAAAGGCCACCTACCCCACCCAAGGTCCCACAAAAAACATTGGCTTCGCAGGTTCAGCGCATCGCCCTTCGCATCAAGGGCAGCCAAGCAGCACAACAGCAGCCCCCAACAAGCCAGGGCACATCCTCGCGCCAACAGCTTCGGCACAATCCCCCCAGCTCTGTTCGGACACCTGCTCCGATTTTTGATGCATCCACAACTGCTGCCCCATCGGGTCAGCCAACCCTCGAACAACTGGGCAAACAGAGCAGACCACCACAGATTGACGTGGCGCCTTTCTCTGAGCTTTATGATCATGAAAAGCCGACACCCCACGCTGTCGACATGGAGGAAGCGCACAAACTCGCCAAAACTTTGGGCGAGATAGCTGCTGACAGCGATTTCAGGCAGGAGACTTTAGCCGAATTCGCGCATGCCGTATTACAGTCGGGCACGCGCTCAGCGTGCAACGAATTGGGGGCAACGCTGACGCCAATATCGGACGGCGTGCATACTATGTTATTCATCCCGTGGGCTGGAGAGTCTCGCAGAGCATTCGGCACTCGTGCCACTGACCCACCAGGGGAAACATACATCTACACCGCCGGACACGGCACGAGCATTGCAAGTGCAGCACGCATAATGCGTGAGGACTTGGTCCGCCCAAGTTCTGTCAGCCATTGCTTCGACGACAAGTCCTATCCACCCATTCCCTCTTGCGTCATATACGGGAATGCGACCCCAGGAGATGTGTCGGAAAGCACGGTACATATAGTTACCGATCAATGTACGCGGCGGCCCAAGGGCCAACAGGGAGTGATCGTCATCGGGACAATACGGACTAAGTATCAGCATTACAAGATGACGTATCGAGACATGTACAGAGAAGCCTTCATCGTGGGGCGAAAGGGTGTTGTGCGGACCCCGGAGAAGTGGGGATTCCACTCCGGGCACTTCAGCATCGTTGGATTCGGCCTTATTCAGTGATGTTGCTTTTTCTTTCTTTCTTCCGTGTCTTCATGTAACTCTCTAGTACTTTTTCTTCCAGGCCTGAATCCCTGTACACATAGTTGTTTGCAATCAGGCATTTGCTCCGACCCCGCTTTTGAGCCAAAGAAGATTCGATGCAGCTGCATGCTGGATGCCCCGCACAAGTTGATGTGGACGATCAAGCCAACCATGTTGCTCATGCATGTTCCATGTGCAGCTTTTGCAGTCACAGGCAATTGTAGTGCCCCACTGTGCAACCATGTACAAGCCGACACAGCCTCAGTGGCATACAACAATGCCAACAGGCATCATCGGTACAGCAATCAGTACCATGCAGCGTCAAACAACCCCGACCAGCAGCACTCCATTGCACCCCATCTCCCCACCACCAGGGATCCACAACATCCCACCACACACCTCATCGCTAGCCCCAACCACTTGGGGTTCAGCTCACACTTACAGCCACAACAACACATTCCCACCTTTCCCTCCACCCCCTCCCCCACCCCAACAGTTTCCCGGCCCAATTTCACCCACCACACTGCCAGCCCTCACACCTGCCACTCCCCAACACACATTTGTGAGTCCATCTTCGATGACGACTCGAAACCCCAGCATTTCGTCACATACATTACCTCAGACCACCGCCGCAACCCAACAACAGCAACACCCCAATCCCACGCCTGCAAATCCCCAGATACCAAACGACTTCGTTCAAACACCAGAGCATTGGGACAACAGGCAGCTTTTTGGCCTCAACCTACCCAAACACATTCAATCTACACCACATTCAGTGCATAACCGCACAGCAGGTATGCCAATCGCAACAGCACCATTGGTCGCATTTTTGCGACACAATTGGTCTTCGTACTGGCTGCGGTACGCTGCACATGGCTTCGACATCCATCTTACATGCAGCAAACACGTCAGCGAAGCCGTCTTTACCACTGAACTTATGGGTCAACTCCGAGCAAGGAGAATTGATCTGGACCAAGCAGCCACTGCATTTTGCTGGCAAGAAAAGCTCACACTCGCAAAACGACCAGCAATGTCACACCTCATCAAGGAATTGGTGTTGTACCTGCAAGAGCTGCAGGACCAGTACAATGACGGCAACAAAAAGGACAAGCAAGATGTCAAAGCAGACACAGACAACACACAATCGCAACCCACCGAATCTCCAACACCACCACAATCCAGCAAATCACAACCTCATCTCCCACTTCAACCTTCGCAGCCAACAGAGACAGACACTCTGGCGGCCCATCGCATCAGCGACCTTGAAGCACGACTTTCAACAGCACTGGAGACAATCGAAACTCTCCGTGCTCCCAATGCACACAATGAGGCACCCAGCACACCAGCATCAAAGAAACCAAAACGAACCACCGCGCCCAGCACCCCCATCAACACGCCCTCCCCACCACCTCTCTCACTTTCCACAATTGAGATCTCCCCCACCACAACCACCCGTGGACAAAAACGGGCCACCATCGATGACCCTACACACCCTGACACCAGGCCTACCACTGAGGGCCTATCCCCCGTCACCACAACCGCTGCAGAACATGACAACAACCCGCTACATGCTTCCCCAGCATCGTCATCCACCACAGGTATGCACTTCCCGGGACGCTCCACTCTGGGCGCCAAGCGACAGAAGCAGTCAACTCTTACACCAACGAAGGCGGCACCCCTTGATCCCAAGATGGATCCCCAGCGCATCTTTCAGCAGCCTACAAAAGCCAGTGTCTGGTTTCAAGATCACTTCACTGGCGTTCACTCCGAATCCGGCATCACCAGATGGTTTGGTGCCATAAAAGGCATCAGCGACAAACAAAAAACACAGGTAAAAAAGTACCTTGACATTGTTGCTTCGGAATTCCCTTCACTCAGCAACTCACAAGAGCAAACACTGCAGACCGCTGCAGTCGCCTGGGGTGTCCCACCCAAAGCCATCGACAAATTTGGCTCCCCAGCACTGATCAAACTCGTCGCCATCATCAGTCAGATGACAGAGTGACTCCGACAGTACTTGATTCAACACCGACAGACACTTGATCACACAACAATTTTCCGACAAAAACAATTCAAGAACATCACACGCATTCTGGATCAAGGCAGATCCATCTTACAATTCGTCGCACCTTTGGCAGAACCAGTCTCCACACAATTCTATCAAATCATACTCTGGCTTCAAGGCCTAACTTTGTTACTTCGCACACAGCATTTCTACCTCAAACATGAGGAAGGACATTTCTCCAACCTACAGAGACTGTTTGCACATTCAAACATTTCTTTTCCATCGTACACACTCTCTTTCTTTCGTCAGCCACAGGTGGTATACTGCAGAGTCACCACGCAACAACCTTTTCGTGGCTACGTTTACATCGGCAGCACAAGTCACTCTCTCACACAACGAGAGGGCACACGCAATCGAAAATTCAAGCAACTTCAACAACACAAAATTGTACAAGCCGAACTTTCTTTACGATGGTGGCGTAAACACAAATGCTACCACCAATACACACCAATTGTACTACAAGCCAACATACCCACCGAGCAATTAGAAGCCACGGAGAACACTCTCATACAACACCACCAATCCAAGCTCAACTTTCCCTACATCACATCACACATGAAAGGAGCTTTTTCCGGCTTCACAAAAGCAGCCAACAACAAGCACAACGGCACAGCCACTTTATGGGCGAAGCAACGCCGAGGCAAACTACACCACTCCATCCGAAGCTTCACCAACTCCACCTTATTCAACACCAGAAAACGGGCATGGACCACAGTCTCACATCTTACTTCCAACACTCGCACCAGATTCGACACAACAAAACAACTGCTTCGCTCAGACACACCAGCAGCCACAGTGTACGCTTTACACAAACTCTCAAACAACTTACCACGACGCGACCGCAGACACGCTCACAAAGCGCTCAACACCGTCTTCAAGAAGCGACGACTTAAACCACCTCCTGTCACAAAACCCATTTACCTACAGCCACTCTTACACCCCACCTTCACCCAACAATTACGACAATTTTTGCGCTCTCGGTTAACAAGCAACAAACAACACATTCCACCATTCCATCTCCCCAGCACAAAACCCGTTTACAAGAAACACCCACCCATGCAACAACTTCTACACAATTGGCGCGACGCCCACACTACATGGCAACCCGATTCACCACCACCCTGTACCTGCTCACCATTACATTCACAAGTTCCCCAGGAGCATATTTTCCACAATCACATTGCTATCCAACTTGCAGAACTACAACCACAACATCAATTTTTGGCATACTCCGGCAAAAGCAATTGCCTTCAGAAGCCCACACAGTTGGCTTCACAATTATGCCGAGCCATACGCACATGGCATCGATACTATGGACTACCTTACAACCATCAAACTGCAAAGCAGTTTGTATCGGAACAAATACCACAACACAACACACACTGCAATCAACACAACATACTACAGGTTAAGATGATCAAGCAAGTCCAACACCAAATACCATCGGGCATCATCCATTGCGAAGATCATTTCCCAAACCGACTCACGTGGTACTGCCCAGCACTATATCACAGTGCCATACACAACACTTTTTTAGACAAGGAGATCTTTCGGATCTCACAGCACCAACCTCTACAACACCACTTTGATGTCTACACAGACGTCCGCAGTCTTCTACCAGCTTACATATGGGCTTTTCCACAATGGGGACGCATCCCACGCGCCTACATTTTACCGAAAAGAAAGAAGCAATTCACAAAAGGCCGCCCTATAGTGGCCTTCATCGACACCATGGGCAGAAAATTGTGGGAAGCCTTAGCAGACGTACTGCAGCTGATGACTTTTCAAGCATGTCCAAACTCCTTTCACCAAGGAGACGGGATAACACAGCTCAAACAAACAGCACTCTTCCTGCATCAGCGCAGGAAATTACACGATTCAACAGATTACATCCTGTACAACCAGGATTTGGCTGGCTTCTTTACATCGGTCGATCAGAGCCGGTTTCTTTCAGCGTACAGCATTATGGTTCGATGGTACAGAGAAAAGAACCCGCTACACTCTTCCAAATTCTTCATTGACCACTCACAGAAAGACCCCACACATCGAGTCCACAGGGGCAAAAGCAGACAAAAGAAGCAAGAAGCCTCTTCAGGCAACAAACTTTGCATACAATTACAACATATCCCACAACTCATCATTGCAGTGCTCCGACTCAACTATTTCACTGTTGGTACATCACTTATTGAGCAATTTCGCGGTGCACCTATGGGCTCACCCTGCAGCCCGGCCCTATGCAACATCGTGGTTGCCGTTGAAGAACAGTGTTGGCACCACACATACAAACAACTTTTCAAGAACCACAAGCATTTTCCAGACCACAACAAGCAGGATCAAGCTGTCTTTTTTGCTACCAGATACGTCGACAACCGCGTCCTTCTTTTACCTGCACAGCTGACCCGACTGCCTCCTTTTGCACAGCTTACTGACGCATCTTTCTACAAGCCACCGGTTCAGCTTGAAACTGAACCGGCCAACATTTTCCTGGGTTTCGCCATAAACCCTCAGCACAGCAGCCTTACGCATCAATGCACTTTGCACAAGGCGGATATTTTACACCCACAGTCAGCCACCTCTGTTGCAATACTTCGCAGCAGTTTTCAGGCCCGCACACGCATGGTACGCAGAGTGACAACACCATGCAGCGAGGCCACATCAGCCATTCGAGCCATGCGCGATCTCTACATCGCTGCCGGCTATACTGATCAACAGCTGTAAGCAAAACACTGTGCCAAGTTGCCGTGCGTGTGTCCAGAGTCATGCAACTTTGCAACATGAGAGCCGCCTTGTATCAACACAGTGCTTCCCGCAGCCATTTACAGTGTTAACTGAGGCATCATCATGTATAAAAGTGCCATGACTGGCAGATTGCAGCCGAGCCACAAAGCGCTGAGCGGCCGTCCTCGGCCATCCATCTCCAAGCATAGCAGACGCCGCAACGAGCAACCTGCGGTTGGCAGCCACAATCCACAGCCGGCGCTTTTGCGCTCTCAGTTCCTACGTGTTGCAAAAATATGACAAAGCGAAAGGCTGCCGAGGCCGGCCTTCCATGGTACTCCATGGCAGGACAATGTTTTCGGATGACTGTTGAAATTCCACCCGACCGCATCACCAGAGACAAGCACATGTTCTTACACGTGGTACTTTGTCTGGGTGACAACGTTCTACAAGCTCGCAAGATCTTCTCCTACCGCATCAAGGAGATCACCGGCAGAACTCCTAAAATCCCAGCTTTCTTCTTCGAACAAAACCGTCGACGACTACATGATTGGGATTCAGTCACCACATTAGCCACGTTGAAGCCGGTGCTTTTTGTTAGAACCTGTTCGGATCAGGAAATACGACAATCACCCGATCGCTAGTGACAGCGAGAAAAGTGCGCCATTCACTCCTTTTGCCACGCATCAGACCTTTCACTCTACTTGAAGCATGTACGCCCCATTGGGGCTGTGTGTGTGTGAACCTCCCTAGCACATGGGAGCAGAGGGTCACTCCTACACTGTTTGCAATTTTTGCTTTTCAACTTAATCAGACATTGGACATTTACCAAATCAACTGTTGCAGGGGGACACAGCATGTCACTGGGACTGTGTCCAACGAAGCTACCAGTGACATGGGAGGAGAGGACTGATCATCCTCTTGTACCTGCATGGCAGCCCCCTGTGGTGCCAAGATTAGTCTGAGGACAGGCCCCCTGTGGTGTCCAGATTAGACAAACAATTTTTTGTACGGTTGCCGCAATCTGACAAACTTTTACAACACGAACAACATGCCTCTCTTTTTCCTCTTGCACTCGTACTCTTGGCCGAATCCATCAGTGTGCGTGTGTGCGTGTGCGTGTGTGTGCGTGTGTGTGCTACTTTCGAATTGCAGGCTTTGGACATGACGCCGCATCATTCTGCATAACTCGCAATGCAAGGAAGAAGCAGCTTAAGAAGGGCATGACGAAGGGTCAGACGGTTACACCTCCCAGAGTGGTTTGCTGGTGCATGTCTTTGGCTGCTTCAGGGAAGACCGCAAGACTTAGCCCATTTGAGCGCGCAGATCTGCCGGACACGTTGAACGACAATGTCACCTGGCGTCGAGTGGTGGGCAGCTGAGTACCGTTCTTGCTATGACGACGGGCATCACTACGTAGCGCATTGGCACTACACTTGACCAGACAAAGCCGATCACTCAACCTGGCGAATTTCCAGACCGCAGGCGCTCATTTATCAGTTGCCGGGGCAAGATGCCGTCTCCGACGTTGGCCTGCAGCGAGCAAAGGCCGTGGCCATGGCTTCACGATTGAAACATTGGCATGGCAATGAGAATATTCGTGGTAAAACTGCGTTGTTGTTGATGATGATGATGAAGAGGATCCCGAAGAAGACGTTGGTAGTCAAGGGCTTGATTCTCGAAGCCGGCAAGGAACGACGACGACGACGCGACGACACATGCACAACTGGACAGCAGCAACTACCCGAACTACGCTGGCCAACGAGAAGACTAAGCATACTCATAGCAAGAGTAGTGAGAGACGAGAATAGTAATTAGTAATGATGATGGTGCTAATGATGTTTTCGCTGCATCATGATAACATGTGTCCGATAGCTGTATACTACAGTAATCAGATCCACAGTAGCACCTAGAATGGCAATAGTAGTGAGATAAGTGACAATGCTAATTTCATTTCTTCCTGGTGCAATAAGAGCAAGAACAAGGACAATTATTATAGTTAGAGTAAAGACACTAAGAAGAATGCCAAGAAGCTAGCTTCATACTAGTGTCAAATGCAACAGTAAAAGTAACAGTGGCAGCAACGACAGCGACAACGACGACACTGGCGACGAAGGCGATCAAGTCCACGAACCGAAGTAGTTGTCCAAAAGAATTACCTTCTTGTCCTGACGTGTCTTTGATAAGCCTTTTCTGTACCCCCCCTAAGTGAAAAGCATCGACTTCCTTATCTGCATGTGGTCGTAGAAGCATTGGTTTTGTGACATTTCTCGGCCATGTCTCAAGTAGCCACCGGGCAGGCAGTGGAGGATTCGCTGAGATCCCTCGGAGGTTCGGGCACTGGGCTTGTGGATCTTATTGGCAGTTGGGTGTGCGAGCAGAGGTATGCCCGAGATATTGTTGCCTGAAGGCTGGCAGAGGCTGTGTGGCGAGATGCCAGCAAGCCTCTTTGATGCATACAGCGCCGCATGTCAACATGTCAGACGTGGCGCTTTTGGACACAATTTCTTGTTGTGCCATGCCAGAGACTCCTGTGACTGTCGGTTTGAGGTTATCAGGGCCTATGCCGGGAAGGACATGGACATCATAGCATGACTACCAACTATCATCGGGTCTGTTATTATAGTTTGGTTTCTGTGCCTTAAGTCTGTGGCCCCGGCTTGTGTTCTAGACTTGTCTCCCGCATTTCTGTGGGTCAACTCTGCAGTTCTTGTTGATAGCTTGCTGAGTGCTGCTGAGGGTTCCGAGTACATCCTGTTGCTAAAGCCAATGGCAGCTTTTCCTGTCGAGTCTCTGCGCGTCAGGAGACTCTCTGGTGTCTGCTTCCTTTGCCATGCGGGGTCAGGCCGGTGCAAGCTTTAAGGGGGGTTTGGACTATGGTTCTTGAGCTACGAACAGCCGGGCCTGGCCGAGAATCTTTCAAAGAATCCCCGTGCGATTGGAACGGACGGTGATGGACGGATTGGATGGACGGATCGATGGTCATAATTTTTCTTTTTATGGATGGAAGAGCGTTGAACCTTCGGATACTACTGCACGAGTCTTCCTCGAAGCCTGCGCAGGTGTCTGCCTCGCAGGTGGCCCTGGGGGTCTCAGCCGAGCTGGCCCTTAATGCGAACAGCAGCCAGGCGTGTTGCGACCTGCTACATGAAAGTAAATAAGCACAAACATGCAGGAAGAAACATGAAGATAACGTGGAACCCACACACGCAGGTCTTTGTCTACATATCTGTAAAGATAAACAAGTATATACATTATATATATATATATATATATATATACATATTATACATGCAGACGTATACATATACGTATACATATACATATACACATATCATCCGCGCTCCAGAACACCACGTTTAGAATACATATGTACGAGTTTAACATATTCCTGTTACTAACAGAAAAGTCAGAAAAGGATCCCGTCGTCCGAATCTGTCTAATCTCCTCAGGGTCGTGAAGCATCGTTATCCGTTCTGGAAAATACTTAACATTGTCAGCAGCGTTTTGAGTCTTTCCATTCCTCACTGCTATTACTAACACTTTTGCTTGGTTGGAGGCCTCGCGGAAAGCAGTTACTCAGATACCACCTACTGGTAAGACAGAAAAAAGCAGAGACAAACAAGTAAACGATCTCAAGACCCTTCCGCCGAAGCAGGAAATGGAGTGCCCCAAGCCCCAAGTTCTGGGCCATGAGCCCTATACGTAGCTTCTAGGTCCTCAACCCTCTGCCCTCAGGCGACCTCAGGGTCGCCTGACTCGGCTGTAGTTGTATTGTGGTCTTGCCCCTTTTGGACCCTGCTTCGGTTTCATTCCTGGCCAAATTCTTCCGGCAAAACAGTTGCCAAGTGATTCTTTTCATGAAGATCTTCGTTAAGGGAGTTGAATTGTGAAATGTGATTTTCAAATCCTGTGCCATGCAAGGTAGACAGCGCAAATGAACTTAATTGTTTTAGTTGCTCTTTAGAGATTTACATGACTAGCACGTGTACGACAATCATGGAAGCATGCTGGCTGCTAGAGCCATGATCAAATTTGTTTCCCTGAATCGGTATTAATCCTGACCCTGCAGTTCTACATTACACGCTCCTGCAGCATGCACTCCCGTGCATTCCAATTTTCAATTCCCGTGCCTTCCAGCAGCCTGCACTTCCCTTGCAGTCCCGGGCTTTGCATTCCTGCAACCGTTGCGCCATCTTGCGCCCAAATGCTGCTGGCATTACTACTAGGTCATCTACTAGGTTCCTGCTCCATTATTGCGAGTGCTTGCATCAGTATCTATTAAGGTGGTCAATGCTCCGAGCATTGCTGCTAGCTTTGTAGAATAAAGTAGTGAACATAAGATAACAACTTGTAGGTGCGTATTTTCATGTGTGTGTATATATATATACACACACATATATATACACATGTATATGTGTATGTATTCCTGGCTGAAAGCCTGTCCTATGCTGGAAAACACCACGTGGTGTCAGGCTTTGGAGATTTTTCGGGTTTAGGTCTGTTCACAATTGGATTTTGCCGGGCAAAATGTCGATTGTTTGTTGACTAGTGAAAAACAAGCGCCAAAGCCTCCGCTTCAGCCCAAAGCGCGATGATTTTTCTCCCGTTTTGGACCTGCGAGTCCTCGTCCCGCCACCCTGAGCATTGGGCAGGCGTCGATCAAGATGGAGACGCTGGCCAGGATCATGGAGGCACCCGCGTCGGGAAGTGTCGAAGAGTTTATGTACCTCATCGCTTGCCCCATAAAAAATTGCACGAGGAGCAGGCGCCGGGCACACTGGATCGATGGCTGCCGAAAGCATGGGCCCCGACTAGACCTCCAGCACCGTTTTACCAGCATCTGGCTTTTTAGTGCAGATGATGAAGCTTCACGCACCAGGGTCAATTTCGGGGCTTGGCGATGTCACGCCCAGGTTTGTCCGGAAGAGTATTGCAACGAATGTTGCTCAGTCCCAAACGTATCCGTGGAACTCGAACAGCAGATTGTGTGTGCGGGCAGTACGGCGGGGATGCCCCAACGGAGTGTTTAGCGTAATGTCAAACCATACCAAATTCTTTACCCTGTTCCACGGTCTACACCTCTGAGTCTTCCTTCCTGAACCCTCCCATTGTTAACTCCACATCCTTAACCCTGAAGCGCTCGACCCTCAAAGCCTACAAACTCCAAAAAGCTGCCGCCTTCTCTTCATGTTCCAAGTCCTTTGAGGACGAGTTCGGCATGCACAGCTACTTCGCCTTTCGCCCCTAGACACACAAAAACAACTGCAAGCTGAAGGTTGTACAGGTTAGGGTTCTGTGATCAGGGTTTAATGTTCCGAGTGGTGGGCTCGCGGGTTTCCGGTTCGGGTGTTGTGGTTTACGGCTTTTGGGATTTCTGCTGCAGGGGGAATGAAAGTCGTGAGGTGTCCAAAGCTTCCGGCTGGCAGTCCGGAGTGCAAGGGCGAAGGGGTGTTTGACAGTTCCCGGTTCGCACAGCAAGAAAGAGAGAGAGAGAGAGAGAGAGAGAGAGAGAGTACGGTCATTTAGATCCGTTATCGTATTGTTCATGGCGTTAGCCTTCAGATGACCTACACTCGCTACTCACTCCCCCTTGCTCAACGGCATGATGCCCGGGAGACTTGACCGTCCCTCATGCGCGGGAGGGAGAGCGAGAGAGAGAGAGAAAGAACAAAGCAGAGGATGATTTTTGTAGTTTGTCTCAGCCACCGTGAAGTGACGGGAGAATGAGTCTATCATCCCAAGCTTCTTAGTTGTACATCCCGTCACACCCCTTTCACTCCCCTTTCGCCTGCAATGCCACATGAATGCATAAATGGGGGAAGCCTATTTCACAGATGTGACTGGCGCGACCCACATGACCCTTGGTCGTGGGCAACCTGACTTTCACAGTCCCCCAACAAAGCCCATCGCCATCCACACGGGTGGGTTTTCAGCCCCAAGAGCTTGGACGGGAGAGCCGGAGTGGCCCGGGAATTTCGCACATCCCGCATGCCCTGGAGAAGAAGAAACAGAGAGAGAGAGAGAGAAAGAGAAAGCGAGAGAGCGCCTTTGTACAAAGGGGAAGGCTTGGAAAAGGGATGGAAAGGAGGACTTATAATCTTATAGCCATTGTAAGAGAAGAGGCCATTCCCAGATCTACCTGTGAAACGGTGAAGGCAGAAGGCAGTTTTTTACATCTTGTTCGTAATTGTTGTTATGGTATTGTGCGATGCCGTGCCGAGAATATGACAAACTCTTTTGTTTCGTGCGGCCAGCGCCGTGATCATGCACGCAGCAACGTTGCACATGTGCAGCATCTATCATCCAACGTTGGGGATTAGCGCGCAGCCTGTGCACTCGGTGCGTGGCTTTCTAGCGGGGATGCATTGGTCGTAGACGGTGAGAATGTAGAAGAGTTGGAACAACAAAGATGAGCAAGAAGACCTGAGTGGGGGCGGTCGTCCGTTGATCATAGGGCATAGTGCCGGTTTGCAACACCGTTAGTCATTCGCATGCGATGGCATCAGAACATCCATGTCGTAAGCAGTTGACAATCTTTGCAGAGCAGCATGCTGTCAAACATCTACCCTGAACCTTCAAGCCCTGACCATACCTTGAAACCCACCGCAGTGGAATCCCAAAAGGCTCCAGCTTTTCTTTCGCGCTGCGCGTGGATTCCGCAGCTGCGAGCTGGGCGGAGCTCATCCTCGAAGAGGTGAGAGGTGCTGGGCGGAATGCTTGCAGGCTGAGGGGGCGGAGGAATTCGGGGGTTAAGAGGATGGGAGATGACGCTCTGCAGTCCAAAGCGTCACTGGTGCTTCGGCTCCAGAGCTTCTGAAGGGCACCAAGTGGAGACGTCGTGATGAACAGAACCCCAAAGCCCTAAGCCGTGAAGGATTTGTGGCCTTGCCAGGTCGAGCCTCTGCTCTTGGACCTGGGTGTTCTGAGCCCGAATCCCAGAAGTGCTCGGGTCGCTGTCAAGTTCAAGGTCTCCATACTTTGGAGCTCCAGAATCATCAGCAATGGACTGCGACTTTGCGGTGCAGGTGTAGCGAGGGAGGAGCAGGACGACCTGCGAGTGTACTTAGAGGAGCCGCAGGGCTGTGGAGTTTTTTTTTGTTTTTCGAGGGCTTTTTGAATCTGCGCGTTTGTTGTGTCCAGGGTTGGGGAGTTGGGCTGTGGCTTGCGAGCTCAACAGCATCTCAAAGATGAGCACGGGCAGCAACTGTGGGGAGCTCTTAAGTTGACTCACACGTTCGGCTTGTGCGTGTCTGGTGCAGGCCGACAATCTTCCGCAGATCCAAGCCAACGAGCTGCGTCGGAGCATGAGCGAGGCACGGGGCCCGGCAGAGACCGCCGGCAGCAGAGCATTGAGAAGCCCGCACCTCTGACATCCTAAGCCTCACCCGTCCGCAAAAGGCGAGATTCGAAGTCCATATCCGTACGCCCAGGATCTTCCACTCCTTGTTTTTGGCCCGCTCAGTGCCTTCTTGGCCCTGCTGTGGCTCGGCTTTACCAGTGGCTTTCCTGCCCGGCTCTTGCTCCGGAGGAGTCTTCTTGTTGAACCTGCTGTCTAAAATTCAGCTAGCTGGCAGTTAGCCTTCAGTGCAACATTTAGAACAGCAAAACAAGGACCAAACTCGCGAATCCCTAAACGCCCACAAGCTGAACACCACTGAGGCTGCGTGGCCGGCTCCTCGTAGCGCTTACAGCAGCAGCGCCCTGTCATGCAGAGAATTGGGTCAGTTGATGTTTGGGGCTGCATCTGGCAATGTGCAGGCAGGCTCCCAACCTTCGTGGGTAAGGCAACGGTATGAATCATGAACCCTTGGCTTGTCGAGCTCGAAACGCTTAGGTGCTGGCATTTGCGGTGCCAGTGATTGCTTCACTTGGGATTTTGGGACGCCGCGATGAGCTTCTCGAGGGTGTGGAGGTGCGATGGACGGATGGAGGATTCCGTTCGGAGGTGACGAATCAGGTGTCGGGCCTTGCAGGTTAAAGATCTCAAGCATTCAGATGGGACCCCAAGCATACTGTCTGGCACAAGAGGATGCTTCGTTTTTAGGTTTTACTAGGTGTTGTTGTCCAATGGCTTTTTCTCCCCATGATTTTCAGCCCGCAATCTTGGCAGCGAGGGCTTGAACTCGAGATGCAAAAAGCCGTTGTGTTGGCCAGGTCAGGATAGTGGCCACAGCAGCATGGTTTCTGGTTGCGGCAGGCTGCGAAGATTGGGCGTTGGTGCAGCATGAGAGGGGGTTGGGTGGAGGTTGAACCAAGAGCACAGGGCTTGCTTCTTTTGGGGATCATTGTCTAGGGCTTTGGTTTAAAAGTTGGGGTCCATTAGTCTATCGGGTCCGGCCGAATTCAGCAGCAAGAAATAAAGCTGGGTGGCCAAGTGTTGGCTACGTCTTTTGGGGTGCTGTTTGTCGAATAGCACATAGCGGCCGGCAAATGGTGTCATTGTAGCCAAAAACAACAGCCGCCATCTTGTTCGTCGGCACATTTCATGGATACTTTTGACTCGACAGGGGTCCTCCTCGACCGCCTTGGCGATTTTTGTTCTCGGCAAGCTTGCCGCTTTGCTGCTCAGAGGTTGATCTTCACCCTGTCAAGCGCAGCCTATGTGCGACAGGCGTCGCGGACCTCAGCGCAGCCTGTGCACACGCGATGGAGGAGCGCTGGAGGTTCAAGAGGCCGAGGCTTTCAACTCCAGGTTGCTGTACTCCGACATGTGTCAACTTGCAGGGTAGTTGAAGTCAACATTTTTGGGAATGTCGGGGCTGCAGCACCAGGTTGAGCATTCTGAGTTTGGTGTCTCGCGACGATGTGCCGCAAAGCAGCAGGCAACACAGCCAATCAAGAACGGATCTCCTTCGTCTTCGTGCCGAGCTCTAAATCCCAGACATTCCCCTACGTCCAGCCACCAACTTTCCAGGAGCGCCGGGAGAGTCTTCGATTGATGGCACCCCAGTGGCTGCTTGTAAGTCTTGCGCTCAAGGCTGTACTACTCGTGGTGGCGACAAGGCATTGGCAGTGGTAAGAGTAGAAACAGAAACACGAGCAATGCTGGAGCAATGCTACTGCTCATGTTCCATGGTGGAGATATCAGCCGAATGAAGATTATTGTATTTTTGTCGGGCCAAGGGCTGCTGTCCCAGTCAGCGGAGCAGTTGCAGGCCTGGCGTTTCGAAGGTTGTTGAAATTGCTGCCCTTCGATTTGGGGAGCTTTGGGCCGCTCGGCCTGGTGACGACGCGCACCGAAGAACTCGGTCTGAAACACGGGCAGTCTCAAGCCGTAACTTCGTAACCCCAACCTTTGACAACCTGCTTCGACGACAGGTCCCCGATAGTGTGCAAACTTCGGCAAGCAGTACTTTACAGCTCGGAGGCAAACGCTCCACCTCATCACCCGCAGCCTACCCTGTCACGTCGCAGTCTAAGTCTTGTCGTGGCATCTGCATGATTTGCATTGCAGGCTGCATCTCCACCTAGTCTTTGGCGCCAGGCTGGGCCGTAGCTGGGGGTCAACTTCAGTGTAAAGCTACAAGGCATGAACCGTAGGCAGCATGCTGAACATGTCTGAATCTTCTTTTTTGGCAGCGCTTCAAGCTTCCGAGCGAAACGTTGAGCCAGGTCGTGGCCTGCATGCCCTTGGAGGTGTCAATTGTGGAGAGAGGGAGTGTCTTCGAGTCTTTGGAGCATGTGTAAGGTGAGGTTGTACTGTACACCGTAGCAGCTTGCGTCCCGTGGGTGTCTTTTTTCCTGGCAATCTGGTGGCGACCTGGCTCGTTCTGCGAGCAGCTCTGTTGCTGCGAATCCGCGGTATTCACTCTTTTTCATATTGTGTCAGGCAGAAGAAGGTGACGATGATGAAGCAGTCGTCCTCGTCCGTGTCCTCGTCCTAGCAGCAGCAGCAGGAGGAGGAGTAGTAGTCGCCGTCGTCGCCGTCGTATTAGTTAGTAAGTAGTAATAGTCGTAGTCAAAAGAGTTGGCAATCGTAGTAGTTGTACTAGCAGCAGCAGCAGCAGAAGCAGCAGCAGCAGCACCAGAAGTACTTGGAAGTAGGATGTGGGACGTGGTAACCAGAAAGCGGCACGTCGTAGTAGGCAGTAGATCGGAGGTCGCAGTGTGTAGGTGAGTAGGGAGTAGGATGCAGTAGGCATTAGGCAATACAATAGGTCGAAGCTGAGTAGGTGTGATGTTGGTTTTATCATACAGAGAGCAGTAGCCAAGAATGCGTAAGGAACACCCCGCAGGGATGCTATGAAGTGGGATGGAAACAGCAGCTGTGACCGGCTGTGAGATCAGTAGCAGGAGGGCCGTAGTGAAATGAGAGCAGCACAAGGAGCAGTCACAGCCAGCATCGAGAAACGACAGCAGGAGCAGTGCTCCTTTTCCTCATGATCCCCGCCATCCTCATCAAACCAGTAGAAAGAGGAATCGCAAGCACACGTGGAGGAGTTGCGTGGCCATTCAGCCCAGATTCTGAAGATGGTGCGCTTCGTTATCGAGGCGTGGTCTTATACGTTTTGCGATTTTGCAAAAGCAGCAGACAACGCAACGAAAGGGAAGGCCAGTGAGGCTGGTGCTTATGCTGATGCCGATGGTCATGCTGGTCACCGAACTCTTGCCAATGGCAGCAGGAAGGAATGAGAAGGGGCAAAGTAAAAGAGGAGGAGTCATTGGAGGAAGGCAGCTTGCTTCTAATTCGCACGCAGACATAACAAGTTGCCGTTACCGCTATAAGCCGGTTTTAAAGACATCTCCCCTGGCTGCCGTAGGTTTTCATGCAGAGTGTTGTTTGATACTATTTCACATCATCCCTTTACGGTGGAGAATTGAAGGCAATGCTTGTGACCAAAGTTTGGGAGATGTTCGTTGTGCAACTGAGCTTGTATTGGTTCCGAACGTCTTCTCATGACTTGCCATTACCTCGGCGTGCCTGAGCGAATATTCAACACCATAGGCCCCCAAACTGTTAGTGCTAAGTCCTGTACCCTAAGTACAATGCACCCCTAAGCCTTTCCGAAGACCCGTTAAAGGAACCCAGATTTTTGAGGCCCTCCTGCCCACAGCGGCGGCTGGAGCCGGTCTCAGATGGAAGGGAGCCATCCTTGTGGACAGCCACACTGAAGCTTTAGGCTTTGAAGGTGATTGAGGAAGGATGGAGGCATCATTATGGTTGCTTTTGTTGCAGATCTTGCTGGTAGTTAGTACCCTCTTCAACTGTCCAAGGTCTTTGTTGTCGTCGTCAAGAGTGCTTGTCCCATTTATTGCGGACTCGTTATTCAATGTGGTTCTGCACTCGCACGCGAATGCACGGCTTTGGCAGCCCACCAACTCCTCATCGCCAAAACCCGCCCTTCCACCCCAAAACCACATCCAAAGATGTGAGCAGCCGTGGTTTATTTAAGGTTCGGGATTCAGTTTTACGTTTTGGTTTATGGGTTAGTGCAGCTTCGTCTTACCCAGGAAGAATCTTCTTACGGTCAATCCACGAGGTTAGCTCGGACAGTGACACCCGGGCGAATCCAGGTTCATGGCTTTTCCGCCCAATTTCAAAGGGATCGCCTTCATGGGTTTTTGACCTCACCCGAGGATAGACGGTCCTGCTGACAAATTCCTTCGAACCGAGGCATAGCTAGCTTCAGAATTCACACCTGAACCCATGCAGAATGCGGAACACCAGCAAATCTAGCCCTGAGCGCAAAGCGTCCGAAGCGAGATGAACACAGCTTGGTCCTGCTTTAGGCTTAGGCTCGAGGGTCCGAGTCCGAAACCCCCAGACGTCGGAGGTCTTATGCTGCTACTCCTCTCCATGCAGGAAAGCCTGGAGTTGGTCCGCAGCCCAAGCGGGTCTTGTAGTCTGGGGTGTGGGGGAGTTGGAGGACAAGGCATTCAGGGACGGCGAAATTACAAGGAGAGAGTTCCTCAGAGTTTCAGTCCTCAGCATAGTTTCATGTTTTAGGGCTCTGCGGGTGGGGTTGGAACAGCGTTTTTGTCAACGATGTTGAAGCATTACTACGTTACCGACGTTACCCTGCAATTGTGGCTCTGGTTTGTTTTTCAGAGCACACGGTAGGACATCGTGCGATCATCTGTGTCATAGAGGTTTGGATAGAGAGGATTGCCACTCATACTCCATACTCCATACACTCCATAATCTAGACAGCCTGGAGCTAGAGTCTCCAGTATCAGTCGGCTCCCAAATGGAAGCTTCAACCCCCAATGCGCCCAGGTGGCAAATTTCGGTGCCCATGCAGGGATGGGACTCATTCTCTGCGCGCCACTGACGGTGGGATCCTGCGTGCGGGCTTGGTGTGCCGCACACGTCGTTTTTTGTGGCTTCCCGCTTAACGGGTTGAGGGTCTCATCTTTTGGTTTGATCTATTGGCTTTCTTCGGCTGAGAGCAAACATGTGGATCTTTGGCCTGCTCGTTTCGAGTCGTTTGGGTTTGCAGCTCGGTTTCTCACTCGTGGTCTCTCGTGTGAAGAGCTTCGAGCCGTCGGTCTGCATTAAAAAGTTTAGGTTGCAATCTTCCGCATTGAGGATTTCCAAGCATTTTCTTGTGATGCATCGGTTATGTAGATATTGTTTCTGGTATACGCCGATCTTCCCAGTTCCAGGTTGCTGGGGGCAGACCTCCACGACACCCTTCACATATAGCTTCAAATTTCCATGCCGGAACCGTGAATCCCTGCACTCTCGCAAATAATCTCCCAATGCCCAAAAACAGATGCAAAGAATCGGAATCTTTGTCCTTTGGTTCTAGAGGGAGAACTCTGTTCGCAAGTGTCAGCAGGCTTTCATGGTGCCCGCGGCCGTCGAAGCTGGAGATGCTATTGCCGCCTTCTTGTCTTCACGGCTTCTAGCGGAGAGCTTCGGTCTTTCGGGCGGGTTGAGCTCAGAGGTTGCGGTTTCGGGGCACGGTTCCTCGACAGAGAGTGAAACAGCCTGTGGCATTGCTGTGGCGGAGTTTCGTGAAACGGGGACGCTTATCATCTTGATCGCCTTTGTCACCGCAACATAATATGCGTTTCGCAGGTGCGCGTCCGGAAGCTCTCACCCCTGCGCCTGCCTGGAACTTTGCGCACTCCCTTTCTCGCCGAGGCCGCGCGTGTCCAGGCCTGGCGCGAGGCCAGCGACCTCGAGCTTTCGGATGCCCGGGGCCCATTCAGAGCCTTGGGGTAGTTGAGGTTTACATGTTGGGGGGTGGCGGGGAAGGGGGTTGCATCTGGAAGCACGGACACACTCAGGCCCTCCAGACGGTCTTCGACAACACCTTCCCCTTTGAGCTCGAGCCTGGGGGGAACCCAGGGACCATCAAGGTTCAATCATGTTCATGTGCCGTCGAATGAGGGCTGACTTGCATGGAGCTTGGAGCATGTACTGGGACACTGGCGAGAATATGATGCGGCTCGAGAGTGGAGAGCTGCACCAACAAAAAGGAGTCAAAGCAACAAGCACAAAGATCGAACATAGCTGCAGCAGAGCGCTACTGCTGATGCTGCTACAACAACAACAACTACTACTACGTCTACTCCTACTCCTACTCCTACTCCTACTCCTACTCCTACTCCTCCTCCTCCTCCTCCTCCTCCTACTACTACTACTACTACTACTACTAATGCTGCTGCTGCTGCTGCATCATGGTCACCCTCCTCAGCATCCAACACCCCTTCCAGACGCAGAGGTTTGGCGCCAAGCAGGATCTGGCCATGGACTTGAAGTTGAAGGCTCGAGGGCTCGAGGATTGTTCGGAGCCACCTTCTTGTAACCATCTGGTTCCGGGGCATCGGGAAGCTTGACCCGCGTGTTTCATGCTTTTCAACGACTTCCTAAAAAAATCGGATTTTGCTGTAGCTACTGCAGTGCAACATTCGCTTAGGCATCTCCTCTGATCATGCTGCAACTTCTGCAAAGGACTTGTCGCTTCATGGAAGTACAAATAGCTGTCCTTTCCCGACTTCTTGAGGGACTTCGAGCTTTGAAGGCCGTTGCCGAATCTAAAGTCGGGGTATGACTGCTATATGACCCGGGAGTTCGTCAAATCTTCAGACGTCTTGGCAACGACCTACTTCTCTGCCCATGTCTCATGTCTCAAGAGCATCCGGTTCTGCGGTCTTTGGACATCTCCTGCTCCGGCACTATGCTTGGAGATCCAGATCTAGTTGCGATACACATCGTATCTTCGGTCTCCTGGCACCACCTGAAGCTTCTGCCCAGCACCTCTACATCTGAGCTCCTACTCCCTACCATCGGTTTATTCGAAGAGCTGCCAATACGCCAGATGCGGAAGCGCATGCGGGACTACCTGCGCGTGAGGTCTCTGCCCTCAGATTTCGTGTCATTCATGTTTGGAAGCGGGGCCTCAACATGTTCTCCATGCGAGGACAGCTCTGTTGTCAGCCTGTGAGCCCAAAGACCCAAAGAGCCAGGTGGAGCCTCATCGGAGTGAGCTTTATCCTCGGAGGACAGGGCTTTGCTTCAGTAGGCTTTGCTGGCTGCATCGCACATGGGCACATGGTCTGCTTCGGCTCGCAGTCGGGACGTACATGGAACAGGACTGGTTCTGGCATACATCGTGACGGCGGGCCTGCCGAAATTGAAGGGTCTGTGAGGGTGTGAGGTTGTAAGGTGTATGAAGGAACTGGCACTGGCTGGAAATGCCGATCTCGGATACCGACGACTCTGTGCAACGTCTTGCCAAACATTGGCATGTTTGGTGAATTTAGAGATCTTTCAATCGTTTCAGTGTGTTGTTGTGTGTGCCGATAGTCTGTGTGAGTGCCATATTGCACACATGACCGAGCGCTCGTTGCACGTCCGGACGTATTCACCTGCATGGAAGTTCCATAGCACTTTCAACACAGCCATAGAGCAAGGCACACGTCTGCGTCCGCTGCTTTGGCTTAGCTTCAGCTCGAGAGGTTCGCAGGTCCTAGCAGTCGCCGCATTCTCAATAGCTCGCCATGGCCGACCAGCTGACTGAGGAGCCGTATCCATAAGTGTCGCCTGAGGTGTGTGCCGAAGACAACTGATAACTGCCAGTGCTTGATTGCTGCCGGTGAGGTCGATGTCCAAAATCTCGTGTGCAGGAGCAGATTGCGGAGTTCAAGGAGGCCTTCTCCCTGTTCGACAAGGATGGCGATGGAACCATCACCACCAAGGAGACTGCAGTAGTGACTAGCACGTCTTCGCTGTTTGGGAGGAAGAAGTAGAATCCGCTGCAAGATTTTTGTTCCTGGGGTTGTTCGCTTCCGCCAGCTGAAGCCAAGAGGAGCTGGGCACCGTGATGCGCTCTCTGGGCCAGAACCCGACGGAGGCCGAGTTGCAGGACATGATCAACGAGGTCGACGCCGATGGAAACGGCACCATTGACTTCCCCGAGTTCTTGTCTTTGATGGCCCGAAAGATGAAGGTGCCTTAGTCGCCCGAAGCATTCTATTTTTCTTACGCGTCTATGTGTCCTGACCCGAGCCCACCCCCGACTGCCACGGGTGCTGCATGCCAAGCTTGGCGGGGGGAAGTCGTGCGACCCTGCTAGATCCCGAAATCCACATGCTGCAGCATCGTGCCGTGGACCCGAGGACACCGACACGGAGGAAGAGCTCATCGAGGCATTCAAGGTCTTCGACCGCGATGGCAACGGCTTCATCAGTGCCGCCGAGCTGCGGCACGTGATGACCAACCTGGGTGCTTGGCTGAGAGGTCTTGTGGGGGCGCATTGAGGCTTTAGTGGGTGCTGTCTCCCAGAACCGTCGTGGACCGTGCGTCGGTGTTTGCTCCTAGGTGAGAAGCTCACGGATGAGGAGGTCGATGAGATGATCCGTGAGGCTGATGTTGATGGTACGGGCCTCAGACTCGGGTGACTCCAGCCTCGTGTTTCGAAATCAGATCCTGCAAGGTGACGGCCAGATCAACTATGAGGAGTTCGTGAAGATGATGATGGCCAAGTGAGGCATCGAACCGGATGCCACGTGCATGTACAGATCACAGGCCGTCACTGACCTGGGCCTGTGACGCAATTTCCAGCTCGAAGCTGTATCATGGATCGCTACTTCGCACCTGAGAAAAAGCGGCAGCAGCGGTGGTGACACGAAAGTCTGAGCAGATTGTTGAGGGAGTCGGCCGGGCTAGTGAGCAGTATTTGTTTTCATGCGAGCCGAATAGGCAGCGTGAACATCTGTACTGGGCAAGAAACTCTTAGTTGGTAGTCCCAGGCCAAACGAAGCTGGACCGAGGCGTGCGTTTCCGCTGCTTTGGCTTAGCTTCAGCTCGAGAGGTTCGCAGGTCCTAGCAGTCACCGCATTCTCAATAGCTCGCCATGGCCGACCAGCTGACTGAGGAGCCGTATCCATAAGTTTCGCCTGAGGTGTGTGCCGAAGACAACTGATAAGTGCAAGTGTTTGATTGCCGCCGGTGAGGTCGATGTCCAAAATCTCGTGTGCAGGAGCAGATTGCGGAGTTCAAGGAGGCCTTCTCCCTGTTCGACAAGGATGGCGATGGAACCATCACCACCAAGGAGACTACAGTAGTGACTAGCACGTCTTCGCTGTTTGGGAGGAAGAAGTAGAATCCGCTGCAAGATTTTTGTTCCTGGGGTTGTTCGCTTCCGCCAGCTGAAGCCAAGAGGAGCTGGGCACCGTGATGCGCTCTCTGGGCCAGAACCCGACGGAGGCCGAGTTGCAGGACATGATCAACGAGGTCGACGCCGATGGAAACGGCACCATTGACTTCCCCGAGTTCTTGTCTTTGATGGCCCGAAAGATGAAGGTGCCTTCGTCGCCCGAAGCATTCTAAGTTTCTTACGCGTCTATGTGTCCTGACCCGAGCCCAACCCCGACTGCCACTCGTGCTGCACGCCAAGCTTGGCGGGGGGGAAGTCGTGCGACCCTGCTAGATCCCGAAATCCACATGCTGCAGCATCGTGCCGTGGACCCGAGGACACCGACACGGAGGAAGAGCTCATCGAGGCATTCAAGGTCTTCGACCGCGATGGCAACGGCTTCATCAGTGCCGCCGAGCTGCGGCACGTGATGACCAACCTGGGTGCTTGGCTGAGAGGTCTTGTGGGGGCGCATTGAGGCTTTAGTGGGTGCTGTCTCCCAGAACCGTCGTGGACCGTGCGTCGGTGTTTGCTCCTAGGTGAGAAGCTCACGGATGAGGAGGTCGATGAGATGATCCGTGAGGCTGATGTTGATGGTACGGGCCTCAGACTCGGGTGACTCCAGCCTCGTGTTTCGAAATCAGATCCTGCAAGGTGACGGCCAGATCAACTATGAGGAGTTCGTGAAGATGATGATGGCCAAGTGAGGCATCGAACCAGATGCCGCGTGCATGCACAGATCACTGGCCGTCACTGACCTGGGCCTGTGACGCAATTTCCAGCTCGAAGCTGTATCATGGATCGCTACTTCGCACCTGAGAAAAAGCGGCAGCAGCGGTGGTGACACGAAAGTCTGAGCAGATTGTTGAGGGAGTCGGCCGGGCTAGCGAGCAGTATTTGTTTTCATGCGAGCCGAATAGGCAGCGTGAACATCTGTGCTGGGCAAGAAACTCTTAGTTGGTAGTCCCAGGCCAAACGAAGCTGGACCGAGGCGTGCGTTTCCGCTGCTTTGGCTTAGCTTCAGCTCGAGAGGTTCGCAGGTCCTAGTTGTCGCCGCATTCTCAATAGCTCGCCATGGCCGACCAGCTGACTGAGGAGCCGTATCCCCAAGTTTCGCCTGAGTTGTGTGCCGAAGACAACTGATAACTGCCAGTGCTTGATTGCTGCCGGTGAGGTCGATGTCCAAAATCTCGTGTGCAGGAGCAGATTGCAGAGTTCAAGGAGGCCTTCTCCCTGTTCGACAAGGATGGCGATGGAACCATCACCACCAAGGAGACTACAGTAGTGACTAGCACGTCTTCGCTGTTTGGGAGGAAGAAGTAGAATCCGCTGCAAGATTTTTGTTCCTGGGGTTGTTCGCTTCCGCCAGCTGAAGCCAAGAGGAGCTGGGCACCGTGATGCGCTCTCTGGGCCAGAACCCGACGGAGGCCGAGTTGCAGGACATGATCAACGAGGTCGACGCCGATGGAAACGGCACCATTGACTTCCCCGAGTTCTTGTCTTTGATGGCCCGAAAGATGAAGGTGCCTTCGTCGCCCGAAGCATTCTAAGTTTCTTACGCGTCTATGTGTCCTGACCCGAGCCCAACCCCGACTGCCACTGGTGCTGCACGCCAAGCTTGGCGGGGGGGAAGTCGTGCGACCCTGCTAGATCCCGAAATCCACATGCTGCAGCATCGTGCCGTGGACCCGAGGACACCGACACGGAGGAAGAGCTCATCGAGGCATTCAAGGTCTTCGACCGCGATGGCAACGGCTTCATCAGTGCCGCCGAGCTGCGGCACGTGATGACCAACCTGGGTGCTTGGCTGAGAGGTCTTGTGGGGGCGCATTGAGGCTTTAGTGGGTGCTGTCTCCCAGAACCGTCGTGGACCGTGCGTCGGTGTTTGCTCCTAGGTGAGAAGCTCACGGATGAGGAGGTCGATGAGATGATCCGTGAGGCTGATGTTGATGGTACGGGCCTCAGACTCGGGTGACTCCAGCCTCGTGTTTCGAAATCAGATCCTGCAAGGTGACGGCCAGATCAACTATGAGGAGTTCGTGAAGATGATGATGGCCAAGTGAGGCATCGAACCGGATGCCACCTGCATGTAAAGATCACTGGCCGTAACTGACTCGGGCCTGTGACGCAATTCCCCGCTCGAAGCTGTATCATGGATCGCTACTTCGCACCTGAAAAAAGGCGGTAGCAGCGGTGGTGGCACGAGAGCCTGAGCAGATTGTTGAGGGAGTCGGCCGGGCTAGCGAGCAGTGTTTGTGTTCATGCGAGCCGAATAGGCAGCGTGAACATCTGTACTGGGCAAGAAACTCTTAGTTGGTAGTCCCAGGCCAAACGAAGCTGGACCGAGGCGTGCGTTTCCGCTGCTTTGGCTTAGCTTCAGCTCGAGAGGTTTGCAGGTCCTAGCAGTCGCCGCATTCTCAATAGCTCGCCATGGCCGACCAGCTGACTGAGGAGCCGTATCCCTAAGTTTCGCCTGAGGTGTGTGCCGAAGACAACTGATAACTGCAAGTGTTTGATTGCCGCCGGTGAGGTCGATGTCCAAAATCTCGTGTGCAGGAGCAGATTGCGGAGTTCAAGGAGGCCTTCTCCCTGTTCGACAAGGATGGCGATGGAACCATCACCACCAAGGAGACTACAGTAGTGACTAGCACGTCTTCGCTGTTTGGGAGGAAGAAGTAGAATCGGTTGCAGGATTTTTGTTCCTGGGGTTGTTCGCTTCCGCCAGCTGAAGCCAAGAGGAGCTGGGCACCGTGATGCGCTCTCTGGGCCAGAACCCGACGGAGGCCGAGTTGCAGGACATGATCAACGAGGTCGACGCCGATGGAAACGGCACCATTGACTTCCCCGAGTTCTTGTCTTTGATGGCCCGAAAGATGAAGGTGCCTTCGTCGCCCGAAGCATTCCAAGTTTCTTACGCGTCTATGTGTCCTGACCCGAGCCCACCCCCGACTGCCACTGGTGCTGCATGCCAAGCTTGGTGGGGGGAAGTCGTGCGACCCTGCTAGATCCCGAAATCCACATGCTGCAGCTTCGTGCCGTGGACCCGAGGACACCGACACGGAGGAAGAGCTCATCGAGGCATTCAAGGTCTTCGACCGCGATGGCAACGGCTTCATCAGTGCCGCCGAGCTGCGGCACGTGATGACCAACCTGGGTGCTTGGCTGAGGGGTCTTGAAGGGGCGCATTGAGGCTTTAGTGGGTGCCGTTTCCCAGAACCGTCGTGGACCGTGCGTCGGTGTGTGCTCCTAGGTGAGAAGCTCACGGATGAGGAGGTCGATGAGATGATCCGTGAGGCTGATGTGGATGGTACGGGCCTCAGACTCGAGTGACTCCAGTCTCGTGTTTCGAAATCAGATCCTGCAAGGTGACGGTCAGATCAACTATGAGGAGTTCGTGAAGATGATGATGGCCAAGTGAGGCATCGAACCGGATGCCGCGTGCATGTACAGATCACAGGCCGTCACTGACCTGGGCCTGTGACGCAATTTCCAGCTCGAAGCTGTATCATGGATCGCTACTCGCACCTGAGAAAAAGCGGCAGCAGCGGTGGTGGCACGAGAGTCTGAGCAGATGGTTGAGGGAGTCGGCCGGGCTAGCAAGCAGTGTTTGTTTTCATGCGAGCCGAATAGGCAGCGTGAACATCTGTACTGGGCAAGAAACTCTTAGTTGGTAGTCCCAGGCCAAACGAAGCTGGACCGAGGCGTGTGTTTCCGCTGCTTTGGCTTAGCTTCAGCTCGAGAGGTTTGCAGGTCCTATAGCAGTCACATCATTCTCAATAGCTCGCCATGGCCGACCAGCTGACTGAGGAGCCGTATCCCTAAGTTTCGCCTGAGGTGTGTGCCGAAGACAACTGATAACTGCAAGTGTTTGATTGCCGCCGGTGAGGTCGATGTCCAAAATCTCGTGTGCAGGAGCAGATTGCGGAGTTCAAGGAGGCCTTCTCCCTGTTCGACAAGGATGGCGATGGAACCATCACCACCAAGGAGACTACACGAGTGACTAGCACGTCTTCGCTGTCTGGGAGGAAGAAGTAGAATCGGCTGCAGGATTGTTGTTCCTGGGGTTGTTCGCTTCCGCCAGCTGAAGCCAAGAGGAGCTGGGCACCGTGATGCGCTCTCTGGGCCAGAACCCGACGGAGGCCGAGTTGCAGGACATGATCAACGAGGTCGACGCCGATGGAAACGGCACCATTGACTTCCCCGAGTTCTTGTCTTTGATGGCCCGAAAGATGAAGGTGCCTTCGTCGCCCGAAGCATTCCAAGTTTCTTACGCGTCTATGTGTCCTGACCCGAGCCCAACCCCGACTGCCACTGGTGCTGCATGCCAAGCTTGGCGGGGGAAGTCGTGCGACCCTGCTAGATGCCGAAATCCACATGCTGCAGCATCGTGCCGTGGACCCGAGGACACCGACACGGAGGAAGAGCTCATCGAGGCATTCAAGGTCTTCGACCGCGATGGCAACGGCTTCATCAGTGCCGCCGAGCTGCGGCACGTGATGACCAACCTGGGTGCTTGGCTGAGGGGTCTTGCGGTGGCGCATTGAGGCTTTAGTGGGTGCCGTTTCCCAGAACCGTCGTGGACCGTGCGTCGGTGTTTGCTCCTAGGTGAGAAGCTCACGGATGAGGAGGTCGATGAGATGATCCGTGAGGCTGATGTGGATGGTACGGGCCTCAGACTCGAGTGACTCCAGTCTCGTGTTTCGAAATCAGATCCTGCAAGGTGACGGCCAGATCAACTATGAGGAGTTCGTGAAGATGATGATGGCCAAGTGAGGCATCGAACCGGATGCCACGTGCATGTACAGATCACAGGCCGTCACTGACTCGGGCCTGTGACGCAGTTTCACGCTCGAAGCTGTATCATGGATCGCTACTCGCACCTGAGAAAAAGCGGCAGCAGCGGTGGTGGCACGAGAGTCTGAGCAGATGGTTGAGGGAGTCGGCCGGGCTAGTAAGCAGTATTTGTTTTCATGCGAGCCGAATAGGCAGCGTGAACATCTGTACTGGGCAAGAAACTCTTAGTTGGTAGTCCCAGGCCAAACGAAGCTGGACCGAGGCGTGCGTTTCCGCTGCTTTGGCTTAGCTTCAGCTCGAGAGGTTCGCAGGTCCTAGCAGTCACCGCATTCTCAATAGCTCGCCATGGCCGACCAGCTGACTGAGGAGCCGTATCCCTAAGTTTCGCCTGAGGTGTGTGCCGAAGACAACTGATAACTGCAAGTGTTTGATTGCCGCCGGTGAGGTTGATGTCCAAAATCTCGTGTGCAGGAGCAGATTGCGGAGTTCAAGGAGGCCTTCTCCCTGTTCGACAAGGATGGCGATGGAACCATCACCACCAAGGAGACTACAGTAGTGACTAGCACGTCTTCGCTGTCTGGGAGGAAGAAGTAGAATCGGCTGCAGGATTGTTGTTCCTGGGGTTGTTCGCTTCCGACAGCTGAAGCCAAGAGGAGCTGGGCACCGTGATGCGCTCTCTGGGCCAGAACCCGACGGAGGCCGAGTTGCAGGACATGATCAACGAGGTCGACGCCGATGGAAACGGCACCATTGACTTCCCCGAGTTCTTGTCTTTGATGGCCCGAAAGATGAAGGTGCCTTCGTCGCCCGAAGCATTCTAATTTTCTTACGCGTCTATGTGTCCTGACCCGAGCCCACCCCCGACTGCCACTGGTGCTGCACGCCAAGCTTGGCGGGGGGGAACTTGTGCGACCCTGCTAGATCCCGAAATCCACATGCTGCAGCATCGTGCCGTGGACCCGAGGACACCGACACGGAGGAAGAGCTCATCGAGGCATTCAAGGTCTTCGACCGCGATGGCAACGGCTTCATCAGTGCCGCCGAGCTGCGGCACGTGATGACCAACCTGGGTGCTTGGCTGAGGGATTGGGGCTTTAGTGGGTGCTACCTCCCAGGACAGTCGTGGACCGTGCGTCGGTGTTTGCTCCTAGGTGAGAAGCTCACGGATGAGGAGGTCGATGAGATGATCCGTGAGGCTGATGTGGATGGTACGGGCCTCAGACTCGGGTGACTCCAGCCTCGTGTTTCGAAATCAGACCCTGCAAGGTGACGGCCAGATCAACTATGAGGAGTTCGTGAAGATGATGATGGCCAAGTGAGGCATCGAACCGGATGCCACGTGCATGTACAGTTCACAGGCCGTCACTGACTCGGGCCTGTGATGCAATTTCCAGCTCGAAGCTGTATCATGGATCGCTACTTCGCACCTGAGAAAAAGCGGCAGCAGCGGTGGTGGCACGAGAGTCTGAGCAGATGGTTGAGGGAGTCGGCCGGGCTAGCAAGCAGTGTTTGTTTTCATGCGAGCCGAATAGGCAGCGTGAACATCTGTACTGGGCAAGAAACTCTTAGTTGGTAGTCCCAGGCCAAACCAAGCTGGACCGAGGCGTGCGTTTCCGCTGCTTTGGCTTAGCTTCAGCTCGAGAGGTTCGCAGGTCCTAGCAGTCACCGCATTCTCAATAGCTCGCCATGGCCGACCAGCTGACTGAGGAGCCGTATCCCTAAGTTTCGCCTGAGGTGTGTGCCGAAGACAACTGATAACTGCAAGTGTTTGATTGCCGCCGGTGAGGTTGATGTCCAAAATCTCGTGTGCAGGAGCAGATTGCGGAGTTCAAGGAGGCCTTCTCCCTGTTCGACAAGGATGGCGATGGAACCATCACCACCAAGGAGACTACAGTAGTGACTAGCACGTCTTCGCTGTCTGGGAGGAAGAAGTAGAATCGGCTGCAGGATTTTTGTTCCTGGGGTTGTTCGCTTCCGACAGCTGAAGCCAAGAGGAGCTGGGCACCGTGATGCGCTCTCTGGGCCAGAACCCGACGGAGGCCGAGTTGCAGGACATGATCAACGAGGTCGACGCCGATGGAAACGGCACCATTGACTTCCCCGAGTTCTTGTCTTTGATGGCCCGAAAGATGAAGGTGCCTTCGTCGCCCGAAGCATTCTAAGTTTCTTACGCGTCTATGTGTCCTGACCCGAGCCCAACCCCGACTGCCACTGGTGCTGCATGCCAAGCTTGGCGGGGGAAGTCGCGCGACCCTGCTAGATCCCGAAATCCACATGCTGCAGCATTGCGCCATGGACCCGAGGACACCGACACGGAGGAAGAGCTCATCGAGGCATTCAAGGTCTTCGACCGCGATGGCAACGGCTTCATCAGTGCCGCCGAGCTGCGGCACGTGATGACCAACCTGGGTGCTTGGCTGAGGGGTCTTGCGGGGGCGCATTGGGGCTTTAGTGGGTGCCGTTTCCCAGAACCGTCGTGGACCGTGCGTCGGTGTTTGCTACTAGGTGAGAAGCTCACGGATGAGGAGGTCGATGAGATGATCCGTGAGGCTGATGTGGATGGTACGGGCCTCAGACTCGGGTGACTCCAGCCTCGTGTTTCGAAATCAGACCCTGCAAGGTGACGGCCAGATCAACTATGAGGAGTTCGTGAAGATGATGATGGCCAAGTGAGGCATCGAACCGGATGCCGCGTGCATGTACAGATCACAGGCCGTCACTGACCTGGGCCTGTGACGCAATTTCCAGCTCGAAGCTGTATCATGGATCGCTATCTGTACTTTGTATCTTGTGACTGTGTCGCGACTGTACGCGCTGACGAAGGCAGCGAAAAAAGATGCCAAAGTTGGCCGTGCATGCAGTTTTGTCGTTTTGACTCGGCGTGTTCCTGGTTGCCTTTACTGTGCGCCATGCTTCCGCCAGTTCTTGCTGCGAGACGCTGCCAACTTCACTGCACAGACGCCACAGCTCTTCGAGGCAGTTCTGTCTGATATGTGAGTCTACAGAACTTGTAAGTATGGGAAGCAGTTCAGGGGTTTAGGCCTTTGGGAAGTACCACTTCTTCAACTCCTTGCTCTTTTTTTTGGGGGGGTTCCTTATTATAATTGTAGTACGAATGATAACAACAATTAGCTCTTTTGTCTTCTGCCCTAAGCCCAGGCCGGCCACAGGCTGCACGAGAAGGCGGAAATCCTCGCCCGCTTTGACTTCCCGAGCGGGCCCTGGTCGCCATACGATATTGGCACCACTCTTTGTATTCTTTGTATATATGGTGCAGCGCTGCTAGGCCCCCCCTCCCCCCCCACCCCATGGTATGCCCCCCTCCCCCTGTGGTTCCCTGTGGTGTGGGTTCCCCTGCCCCTCTCCCCTGTGGTTGTCTCCTCCGGTCCCTTGCTCAAGAGTCCGGAAGGAAAATCATTCAAGCACGTGCCCGAGCTTACTTTGTAACGAACCCAACCGAAACTTGGCTTGGAATGACAACGGTCGATACAGTTTTCGCAAGAACATCACAAGCCAAGCGCGGTTTTCAACTAGATAAAGCAATGAACATGCGGCGCCGAAGCCCAGGTCAACAGAAGAGCAAAAGTACCACCAACAGCCACACGGGGATTAGCACATCAACATCATTGTGCCCAACATCATCCCCATCATTCTCATCTGTGTGTCGAAGACAAGGGAAGGCGAAGGAGCCCTGTGGTTCCCTGTGTGGACTATCCTTCCCCACCCCGCCCCTGTGGTTCGCTGTCTTGTGGTTCCACGGTTGTGGGTTATCCCTCCCGCCCTCCCCCGTTTCCCAAGGCGAAAGGCGAGGCTTGGCTTGGGGGGGGAGTTACGCGGATGACGCGTGACTGTTTGATGGGACGAGAGGCATTTGGGTGGGAGGGGGGGGGCATACCATGGGGGGTGGGGGGGGGGGGGCCTGCGACGCGGCGACACGGCACCATATATTTGCTAGTTTTTCTTTTGCTATATACTATTCCTATGGCTATTACGATGACATACCATTGTTATTATTATAGTTATCTATCATTGTTATCATTCTTATTGTTCTTTTGATAAGCAAGTTGAAAATACCAGTAATATTATTGTGATTGTGCATATGATTGTGATTGCTTGTTAAATACTTGTCGGTTGAATATATTAGTAATATGGATGGCATTACAACATTAATATATCTTAATCGTACTAATGGTATATTTATTGTTTATGATGTTGTGCATGTTCATGTTGCGAATATTGCTGATAGTATTGATCTACTACGTCGTCGTTCATTACGAGCAGTATTGATCTACGATGCCGTATCTCACTAAGAGGTGTTAGGACATGCTGTACTAGATTTTACTGTAGTCTATATTTTTGTATATACGTGTATACATACATGTCTGTTAGACTAGACGAGGCTGTGCTAAATATACTGGACTATACCATAGTCTACCTACCATGCGGTACCATGCTTCAATTTAGAGAAATAGAACTTGATGTCCTATACATAGTTTGAGCCGTGTGATGGTCTCCTTTGGCGCACGGTGCCCGTGATGCAAAGCGGTTGTCTTTCAGAGCCTCGGGTTGCTGTGTCTTGATGGCTGGTTTGGAGGATATTAGCTTTTGGTGCAGTACGGTCGGGTTGCGTTTTTGGGAGTATTGGGGTCAGTGCAGTGCATGCCTTTGACTTCGAAAATCGCACAGCCACCCATTCCGATCCCAAGCCCGAAACGCTCTGTTTGTCCCTTCCCATCAGGGGTGAGTACGAGACACCACTGCGGGAAGTCCCGAAGCTTGCGAGGCGAGCAGTGGGTTTCCTGTGGCTTGGGACTTGGGCTTTCGGGCTAAGGTTTCAGACTTTCCAGTTTATCGGGCTTCAGATATCGGGCTCCCGGGCATTTGGGCTCCGAGACAAATAGCACTAGTTATTGGCCTTATCAGTGCTGGCGACATGATCGCACGCTATTTGCAGACTTCGCGCTGGTGCATCAATGTGAGGTGGACCCATAGTTGCGCCTGCTTGAGCCGGAAGGACCCGACAACGACTGATCAGGTCAGCACAGCATTAATGAACAAGGATCACGAGGAGGGGCGTAGGACGCGAGGAGGAGCAGCACAAGCAACTCAGCAACGAGCAGTGCAACCCTAATGCCAGCAGCAGGCGTTGCTTTCCTTGGGCAGACACCGCGGCGGAATGCACATGGCATCAATGTGAAGCAGGTGCCATGTTGCTGTGGCCTGAATCCAGGCGATTTGAGTTTTTTGGGCTGAGATTTGGAACATGGGGTTGGGGGTTTAGCATTGAGGATCCAAGGCGCAACTCTTGCGACAGTAAGGCGGGCTCAGTAGGGCATGTGTCTTTCAACTATCTTCATCTTCATAATATCTGAAAGATTAAACATCCGGTCATGTCAAGATCCTCTTTGTTTCACCAAAACAGCACTCTTCTTACTATCTTCTTACTGCTAGCAACACACTTGCGGAGCAACCCAGGCACTCAATGACTTCTGCGGGTTGTCGATTGAAATCTCACTGGTGCTCAGGACTGATTTTTCGATCCGTATTCCCGGCAACAGCAAGCAGTCAAAATCTTTCGAGTTCCACAACCTGCGGCACAAATCTTCATCAGCTCGTCAAAGCACTATGTGAGGTCACGAAAAGGCTTGTTTCAGAGCCACGGCCTGACTGCAGACAAAACATGTGACGTCTTCGTGCACTCCGGAGCGTTGCTACCAGAACTTGTGATCCAGTCTTGCACTGGAAAAGGGGCACACTGCTTCCCGTATGTTTCCGAGGCCTTACTGGGAAGCTCTCACAAGCACCATGGTGAGACGGCCCAACCCAAACGGCATTGGCAAAAGACCGGGAATGTTTGTGTCAACTTTGCGACAGAACTTTGCACTGCACCGTGCCAACATTCTCATACCGCTAAAACGAGGTACTCAAGGTGATGGATTCACAGACATAATGCCCACTCTGCAGCCCAGCACATGAAAAGTGGCTCCGAAATCGGAGACCAGCCTTTGGCTACAATGCGTCTGATTTCAATCCTGTCACTGCTTTGCACCCTGCTCCTTGGACAATACCCCGCCTCTCACCACTCGTTCATGGACAAGACCCAGACACTGCATGAAGTTCATTTGATGATCTTCAATTGATGCGAGCTTGCGTGAATGCGGTTTGTGCCAAGTGCATGGACGAAGAGTTTTGGCCTGACTTTACCGGGTACGAGCCTAATAATCCCACTGCACTGCATGGTATCGTGGCCGAAGACGTGTGTGAACTTTAATGTCGAGCTTGCAATTCTGGACGCCTGTCCCATGCCAGAAGAGAAGAC